CATCGCTTCCTTTTGCCTCAGAAAGGGAAACTAATTAATTTTATCCCAGCAAGTCCTACTCTCTAAAAAATTTTGAAAGGCTTGTTGTTTTAAATTTAATAAAAAATTATAAACATAAAATTAAAATTAAATATGCTTTCAAAATTAAATATGGCGCACAAATTTTTCGGATTTCAAAGATATTATATTATTTATATTTTTACTATTACTTTTCCACATTGCTACAAATATATTGTTTAGATTCAATGTTGGAAACAATTTATTTAAAAAAGGAATTGTTGGACAAAACGGCACCAACACTATATAGCAAGAATTTTGCTAAAATGCCAAGATCATTTAATGAGATATTATTTATTTCTATTTCATTCAGTTAACACAATTTTAAAATGAATAAAGTAATCTTCTGACTTCTTTGCATTAAATTTTGTGACCACCAAATTTTTATAGAGGTTATTCGTTATTCTCTTCAAATTTCTCTCTCTCGAATAATATCATTTTAATACAATATAATATCTCCACCTTCTAACAGGTTGATTGACGCATTTCTGATTCTTTAATCCATCTATTCTTAATCGAAACAAGAACGCCAAAATTTTAATTTCATTGTTGCCAGTTTTGTATATTATGCGGTCCCAGCATACCTCTTCACATGAAAATACAATTTAAAAAAAAATTAAAATATTTACATATAGTATTAAACTAAAATTAGCATGAAATATATAGATAAAAAAAATGCAAAACTTTTTTAAATAGTATAATTAGTAATTTCAGAGCATCAAAGATGTTTTTACTGTTTACGATTAGAAAAATTAGCTTGATTTTGGGAGAGGCGCAGCATTTTTGTTTTGCATTTTGCACGTCTCTTGAAGCTTTCGTATTCGCCAAAAGTTTTTGCCGGAATGGGCGGGAAAGAAGAGGAGCGCAAAAAGCATGGCGCGCTTTCGTATAAATTTGCGCTGCTCTGGCGGAGAACAAAGGGAAATAATTTTCCTTATTTGCTTACGATGGAACAATGCGCGCACACGTTACTTCCTATACGAATGTCTGACAAGCTCCGAGCCCCGAGCGAGACATGGACCAGCGCTTGTTACTTTGTGTGCTGCACACATATCACACAGACAGTGAGCACAACCGCATGCAGAAAATGAGCTCCCATATAATCATGCCGAGCAGGAGCCCCGGGCTCGACCCTTAGACCCACTCACTTTGAGCAAAAGGGGGCAACTTTATAATGAGAGAGAGACTCTTCTCTCCGTATATGACTCACGTTCACCGACGACACGGCAAACTCGAAATAGAGAGAAAATTGGATTAGTTTCCAACGCCATCAGCCATTTTTCTTTTTCTCTAAGAACTTCAGCTAATAAGCAAGAGTAGCAAACTCATGCCTCAGATCTAAGTTTGTGCAAAATATCTGAAATAGGGGATTTTTTTTTAAAGTTCAAGGTGAAAACTTTTGTCCAGCAATCTTTGAAACATATTTAATCAAATTTATGTGGGTCTTATGAACAAGGATGATCAGGATTTAAGAGGATAATTTTTAATATTTTGTTTGATAATTTTTTTTGTTAAAAAAAATCCTAAAGCTTGATTCTAAGGATCTTGAATTTTTAATTTTGAGGTTTTAAACCCACATCATATGCATAATACAGTGAAAAAAAACATCTATTTCTTCAGTTAGAAAGTTTGCTCTTTTGTCTACCCTTATCTTCAAAAACTTTTTCCTAAAGAAATAATAAAATAATGTAAAACATTTATCAATAAAATTCGAATTTTGTTTATTGACAGGAGCTTCATTTTAAGTTTTAATGTAAGTTTTATAAAATGTTACATGAAAATATTCAATCCAAGGAAGAATCGATTTGAATTTTAAAATAATAATAATTCCTTTTGATTTTTATAAAAAGAAAATAAACTAATTATTGAAAATTTTTTTCTTGAGAAGAAAAACCTGTGCCTGCGTGTTTTGGTGCAGTAAAATTTCATATACCAATATAAGCTTATTACGCATGTGTCTATTTTAAAGATGTAGATATTCCTAGCACTCACTCAATTAAAACAGTAAATAAATTAAAATAAGTAATGTGGTGTTTCCTGATGTGGGACAAAAATAAACCTGCCGAGACCAAAACTTGTGTACAATTTTTTTTGCTGACTTACGACTCAATTCTGCGGTTTCAGGCAATAGACGTGTACATTTTGATTAAAGCAGAGCGGAATAAGTCGAAACGGTGGCAGGAAGTTCATACATCAGCACCTCTCGTGCACCACGCCCCTGCGCCACATTTAAATCCGTACATAATAATACCTTTCCGCGGGTAGGGAATTTATTGCTGCGGAAAATGGAGCACCTTGGGCCGCTTGTTTAAAATCCCGTGCAACTCGGCCGCTCATGAGAATTAGAAAAGAGAGCCATTATCCGAATAACGACCGCGCGCCGCTGAGGGTATTTATTTAATATTTCATGCAAACATAGCGAGCCGCCGAGAGTGTTGGCCGGACGGACGGTTATTATAATAATAGCATTTTCATACTCTCTCCCGCTCGCAACATTGTGTATTCAAATTGGTGCCATATAAAATTATTGTTTGTTTTGTATCTCGGCTTCAACACACATAAATATTTATTGCAAAACTCTCCGGCCTTGCCCTGCGAAATTCTGCGCCTGAGAGTTCTTTGCTCTCGTACCGCAATTCCCTAATTAAAAGTTCAAATAACCGCATCTGCTTGTTCATTATTTTGCATCGATAGTTTGTTGTTGAAAAATCTCACAACTTGTAGGTTTTTTATTTTTTTATTTCAAACCACGGCGCCAACCAGGGATTTGTTTGTTTACCTGCGCGAATTAAAAAAAACCTGTCCCATTTTCCCATGCTTGGAGGAAAACGCTTTCGTTGTAAATTTTTCAACCTGCTATAAAAACATAGAGGCAAAAGAGGATTTCGGGGGAAAGCGGGGGCGCCAGTCGCACTACCTGCGAGTCGCGACTGTCGCCGGAGCGCAGGGAAAAATTACCTGGAGCAGCTCGATTGCAGCAGCAAGGATTTCGACATGCTGTCATAAAAGCATCTCCAAGATCGCCACATTGTTAAAAATTCGGGCAGGTAGGACTAAAGGCCCTGGCGCCAGGCACATTCCCCGCGTCTGAGTTTGCGGCGTCAGGGGAGCGTTCTTTTGAGTGCACCCTGCCGCGAGATTGTATTTTTTTCAAACCCCTGTGCAATGTTTTGCTGTCGCAATTGAGACAACAAACATCTATCGGACAATTCGTCGCACCCAAGACTTGCTCCTTATGTGAATGGTCTCGTCTGCCACCAGGCACATGTCGGGGCTAAGGCAGGGTCACTCGACCTGAAAATGCAACAAGCTGTTTTTGGGCACGTCCGCGTCCATCAAAAAAACTGACATGGCTGCACAGGAAAAAGCAATTGATTCACACTCCCTGCATGAATGAAACGCGCGGATTGTTTGGAATTTTTCCTCGCGGGCATGTTTGCTTTGGTCAAGCGGAAATTGGTGCCAATTTCCTGTCGTTTCTCAATGGGAAAGGGACGCATCAATATGAAGCAGTGAGAGGAGTGGAAAAATTCCAAGTTGAAATTTATTTACAACTAAAAATAAAATATCAAATAATATAGTTGACAATGCCCAACATCCTGTCTTACCTCGTAACTTCCTTATTTTTTCTTTTACTTAAAAAGGAAATAATGTTCCTTAAAAGAGCTCATTTTTATTGATTTTTATTAAATTGAATTAGAGATATCTTGTTACTTACAAGACGTAAATAAAATTAGAGTAGTTAAAAAAGTATAATTTCAATATTTTTTTAGCATCCTTTTGTTGCATTTATATTTTTTTAACATTGTTAGTGATTTTTCACTAAAAATTTTTTATGTTTATTTTTTTTTATAATTATTATTAATAATATTATTTAGTTTGAAGCGAAATAAGCTTACAATACAAATAACATATAAAAAGCATTTTAAAAGTTATCAACAAGCAGTGATTTTTTGAAATTATTATGGGTCGATACCTATCTAAAACGTTTTGAGAGCGCAGATTCTGCTCACAGTTTAAGAAAGTATTTTCAAAATATTTGAATGAGACTGAAAATCTTGTTAATTACAACTTTTGATAACGCGAAAAGTATTAATTAATTTGTTCAACATTTTCCCGTCTCCAGTAATTATAATTACCGCTGCCCATTAAATCATATTCTTATTTCATTGCAAACAGTTTATTTTTTGTTTCTTTTGAGAATTTAAAACCCATAGAAACCACTCTAAACGGGAAATAATTAAAGAAGTAACTTTTGAAAATAAAAAATGTAAAACGTGCGATCATTTATATGTTTTAGCTGTCTGAAAATAGTAACATTTATAGAAGGAGATATCATAGTACCAGTCATGAACTATCTGTTAAAAAAAAAATGCACCCATTTATACAAATTTAAAAAAAAATATGCATTAATTAAATTTGAACTTGGCGATAAGATTACGGGTACTTTATTATACTATAGGATGCTGCATGGTCAGTCGAGGCCGAAATCACTGTTGAGTCATTATATTATTTGTTCTTGTGCGGCTCCACTCGAGCTAATGCGGCAATAAAAAACAAGTGGCTGCGACACGTTCGTAAAGCTTTCGAGAGTGTATCGCGCCCGCGTATATGTGTGTTTTTATCATAAAAACACTTATCAAAAACAAGAAGCACCTCGGCGTGGACACGAATCGGTGAGTTGCCCTTATCAGGGCCACCGCGTGAATTAATTCGGGGGCGCCTTTCGGTCCACGGCGGCCGACCGGCCGTCGGTGAGGCGAAAAAAGTAGACGAAGCGGACAGGTGGTTCGCGGTCGGCGATTGGGCCCGCGGGTCGCGGGGGCGGCGCCCGGGCGGAGCCGCGCGGCCCTATTGGCAGTCGGCGGAGGCGCCGCCTGCCGGAGGAGGGGTGCCGAGATGCGAGGGTGCGTGAGGCTGGGGCCGGTCAGTCGTTCAGCGAGCAGTGCGGGGCACGGTGCCTGCGATCAGACAGTGCGCGCGAGACATGTGCTAGAAGAGTGGCCCTTGCAGCAGCGGCCACAAATACGCAGAGACGCAGAGACACGTGCACGGCCTCAAGATTGATCCGCACGAGTGCGACGCCAAGCCCGGCGACGGGCCGGCGGCCCTCAACTCGGCCGACTCGGACTCGGAGTGCAGCAACGGCGCCGCGAGCACCAGTGGGCCCGCCAGCGGCGCCGCGCCGTCCGTCGACGAACACTCCAGTTCCAACTTCATGTCGCCGTACACCCAGTTTGGCTACCCTTCCTACCCTTCCGCCTCGCAGGTATGCTGATTTGTCAGCAAAATCGATTTTTGTTTCATAATTATACGGGGGTACGTCACTAATTGTGCGGTTGCGTGCGGAGAAATTAACTTTGAACGTTATCACTTTAATTGCCTGCTGGCCGCTAATTAATTATTTCATTATATTTACCGCTGGAAAATTTAGCCCGAAACTTCCGGTTGAGTTAATTTGTACATAAATTCCTGGCGCATTCTCTTCAATGCACTTTGAAGATCTTGGGTAAATATTTTGGTTGGAATGCGAGCCAGAAGAGATGAAAGAGTTGCTTCGGCCTCTGGCGAACCCCTGCTGTGAGCGCTAAGAAAATATTGACACAACTCATTAGTCGGCGTGTTATTTTTTTTTTACCACGCGGCAGATAATTAGCGCTTTACGACACTCATTTACAATTAGCGCCCGCTTGTTCTCTTCCTTTGTCCGCCCACGGAGGATTATAAAAAAAATCGCGGCGTTTCTACACCAGGAAAATTGTGGTGCGTTCATTTCTGTGGTGGAAAATCAATAAATCATGTTGAACAGGAGCCTCTTCCTGCAAATTGATTGCTGTTAAATTAGCGGCGGCGCAACAACACAAAATCAGAGAGGCCCAGGGGCGTTCGCGCGCGCGGCCAATTATTTTGTATCCGACGACGAGGAGGGTTGCAGGAAATCTTTATATTTTCAAGAGGAAAAAAGCCGCGTGCCAGGCACATTGCATTGGCGCCGATGCGTGCAGGTTTCCATGGCAACCCTTGGAATCTATCGGTCAGGTGACCGCTTTGCACACACCCCAAGTTTCAGGGAGCAAAAATGTGCCTAGATTTATTTTATATTGATATATTTATTTGACGAAATTACAAGTTTAAGCGGAGTTAGGCTGGTGCTTATGTGACTGGCGAGCAAGGCAAAGCCTGCAAGCTCGGGCAGTGCGTCAAACATTTATTTTACCTTTGAATTTATATGCAATAATATTTTGAACATAAAAATCATAAAAATAGAGTACTGCTTAATAATTTAAAAATTAGATGTAAATTAATCAGGGAAATGGGGTGAAGCAAATTTTAAAATCAATTATTTATAATTATTTTTCTTGTAATAATTTTACAAGAAATATGCTTGTAATTTATTTTGGGAGTTTGGGCGCTGTATTTTATATATATTTTTTTCATTTAAAAAAATATATACCTTGTTTAATTTCAACACATTGTTTAAAATTTGTACTTCATTTAGAATAATTTTGCTGTATAAGGTCACATCATAGTCATCAAGATCCTAATGGGATTAATTTCGTATATTTTTGTCTTCTATAGTGAAATTAATATTTGACTATTTTTATAACATAATGTTTTTTTTAAATGTCTATTTCTATTAGGCTACAATTTAAGATTACCTTTCTAAATTCAATAACCATAAGAAAAAAACTTAAAAAAAAATTATAAATAATTAAATGTAAAATAATCATTATATAAAATATAAAAATAAGTTGATAATAAGGTCACATGATTTGGCTTTAAAATTAAATATATTTAAAATTTGATAACTTTGTTACTTGTTCTGTAAATAAAATTATTGAGAAAATAGTTTGCTTAATTAAATTATAGGTTTTTTTTCTTCTTCAAATCTTAACGTGCCTGTTATGAAAACAAAATTTGTCCTGCGTTTTATAACAATTTAACGATAATCTGTGCCACATAGTAGAGTATTTTTGTTAGTCAATGAAGGAATGAGATATAGCTGTGTTAATAATTTATAAAATAATCTAATTGTAAGTAAATATCGGAAAATGTTTTTCATGATTAATAGCTCAAATTTTTAATTTCTGCTGTTCCAGCTGTTGGTGGCGGGTCAGCCGACGACGGGCGGCGGTGCGGGGACCCCTGGCTCAGTGGGGTCTCACGGTGGCGCCTCCGGGGGCTCGACGTGCTGCGAGAACGGGCGACCCATCGTGACGGACCCTGTGTCCGGGCAGAGCGTTTGTTCTTGCCAGTACGACTCGGCCCGCCTGGCGCTTTCCTCCTATCCGCGCCTCTCAACCTACGGCGCACCCTACCCTTCCACCGAGCAAAACCCCTACCCCAGCATCGACAGCTCGGCCTTCTATTCACCCCTGGTGAGTACAATACCGAAAACCTGACCCCAACAATCGACGCACCCTGCCATTGTTTCACACTGACACAAATATTGATCGACTCTCTTTAGTGGCTTTTCTTTGTTTTGTTTCAAAATGATTAATGAACGTCCACTCCTTTCTCTCTTGAAACATATTTGAGTTCAAAAATTCCTTAGCTTGGGTGATAAAATTTACATAAAAAATAAATATAATCGAATGTGAGATTGAATTAAATACAGGAGCATTAAGGGAATAAATTTGCACCGAAGCAGCAACGTTCGACAGCGATCTTGATTTGCACTCTCGGCGCAGAGCCACAAATTATTACGCGATATACGTCTTGTCGTTACTTTTGTATTTACTCTTGTTACAAGGCTGATTAAAAGCGGCGGACGATGATGTGGCAAGTTGTTGGTTTATATTTAACGGCGTGCAAATCGCGTTGAGCAAGAGAGCTTCGTCGCAGCTGCACCAATCGTCGTCGCAATTTAACCAATCCTCTTCTCGAAATCTCATTCTCGCGAAAATTTGTTTTGTTTGAGTCGAACGACGAGTGAAAATATGTAAATTGGCCGCTAGGCAATGAGGGTGGCGGCGTCGGGCACTAACAGGGTGTTATTTTTATTACCGCGGGCATTGAAAATAATTATCATGGCGGCCGGGTGCATTATTACGTCCGTGTTGGTGTTGCTGGTTATGGCCCCACTTTATTATTATGACGCCTAATAATCGTAATGCAAAAGTGCGCGCTGCATTCGAGAGAGAATTTCATTATATGCTGGGACAGAAAAATCGGCCGCCAACAGAAGCACCAGCAATCACTTAACCCGAAAAGGCGCCGAGCTTTTTTCTTTTCTTTACGGCCGAGGCAAATAAATAAATCTAATAAAGAGTGATTTAATTAATGCGGCGCTCCGTTTGATCCGGCAAGAAGGAAAGAGAGCCAGCGTCTCTTATTTTTTCCTTATCTGAACGTGGCTAATTTTTTTCTCTTCACTGCGATTGTTCTTGGGCACAGGCATTGTCTGCTGGCTGAGAGCGGCGCGCGGCTTTTTGCAGAACAATACGCACGCACTGTGCAAACCATCTTGTAATTAACTTTCAATTATTGGCTATCGAATTCGTGGTGAAATCATACAGAAAAATAAAAATACCAAGTAACAACATAAATCAAATAATGGTAAAAGAATGATAATATTAGTAATGGTTTATAAATTATGATATTAATTACAAGCCGTTGATAAAATAGCGTAGCAAAATTTTAAATTTTAATTGTTAAATAAAATTATAGAATTTTAAATATCATTATAAAGTTTATCACATTGATTTAAACAGTTTTACTAACTCATTCATTTTAATTTAAAGGGTTAACAATATTTTTTTGCTTTATTTTAATTATTTTAATTTTTAAAATTTTGAACATTTATGCAGGGATTATTTTTTCTGATTATTTTTAATTAGAGAAAAAATAACAAATTAATATATTTGATCAGATCGCAATATAGATCAGCATAGTTATGTCCACATAATATATTTGGAGGTTTCATTGTCGTGTTAGTTGCAAATTAATAATATTTATTAAGGCTATGAAGATAAAATAATATCCTGATCATTGTAAATGACTGTGCAAACCGAAAATAATTGTAAATGTTTAGTGAGATTAATTCAAGTGCTAATTGGATTTTATTGTTGAAATAATTTGTGTAGATTTTTTCACCTATATCTATTATTTCTTTAAATTCAACATTAATTATAAAGCAATAATCTTATTCCATCTCCCTCTTATTTTACGCTCTTGATTGTTTATAATGCTAATCTATTGATCAGGCCGTTTGTTTGTATTACTGTCAAGAGATGAAAAATAATTACCGATGATCCGACTTAATTCAGCCATGACGTGTGCGACTCATTATTTTTTGCATTGCGCGCGACAATCATGCGTTTTGATCGCAAAGCTCTGTCCGAGCGAGCATACTCGCAACACTTTACGTCCGAACAATAAACATTACGAGAGCTAAAAGGTCTTCGGTTACATCTTCATACTTTAAACGCGCAGATTGCGCGATATCGCATTTCATATTTATTGGCTTTTTGAGAAACGCGCGCTTATAATAAAAATTTCTCCGCTGCCCGCCTGAGGCGAGATTGTGTACGTACGGCAGCGAATTATAATTTTTCAGCGACGGCAGTAGATTTTGTCGCGGCGCGTCTCGATTTCGCCAGCAGATTTTCGCCGATACTCAGTGATGCACAGTAGCGTTTTTTTGCACGGGCAACCCTTTTTTGGTTTATCGGAGCGCTGTAGGGGGCCGAGTTTCTCTCGTGCAAGTCTCGAACGGTCGCTTATCTCTTGCTGGTAATGTGCAGAAAAATTGCTTTTGCTCTGCGATGCCGCCGCCAGATTTGCACAAGCAATTTCGAAACACAGCAGCCCGATTACTTTTTCTTCTTACACTTTACTCCTGCAATGGATTTGTTTGAAAAAAGAAAGATCGAGCGGTGTTTGACGATAATTTGTATGTTTAACGGCGGAAATGAAGTTTTAAGCAGAATTTAATCGAGCAGCAGCTGCGGAGTAATAGTAATGCCGAACGAACCCCCTTATCGCGCGGACACAATCTCAAGAGTCTCTTTTTTCACCGAATTTCTCCTCAAGGGCAGAAAATGAGATGGAATAAATTTTGGCTGTAGAACGTGAAATGCGTTGCGCCGAGGCGTATGAACAAAAAATGGCTTTATAATTGCTTTGGGGAAACGCGTGTTTTACTCTCTGTCCGGATTCTGCTGCCAGATAAAAAACACAAAAATGACAAATTAGGCTCTAGATCTGGCCCTGAAAGCAAAACAAAAAGTGATTCCGGTATCACTCTGCAACAATTTGAAGTTAAAATTAAATTCTGACCGAAAAAAGTTGAGTAAATTTGAACTCTGCCATCTTATCAGATTAAAACTGATCAAAGTTTAATTTTTGTCTTTATTTTTTTGCATGGGACTGTGAAATTGTATGTCTCTGTAATTACAACGAGGCGGTCGTAAAGCGTTTACGCAATTATATCTTAATTAATTTCGCACATTAGGCATGTGAGCTTTTTTCCAGCCTGCCGCACGTCACATCATTTTTATTAGGCGCTCAGTCGGTTGGTGTGTTTTTTTTTGTCCATAATTCGGAAACATCTGCTCGACATCGTGTGTTGTGTATATATTTTGGGCCGCTCGGCGCGCGCGTGTGTTATCTAATATGTAAATACACAGGTGATATTTAAAGTGATAAAACCGACCGACTTTTTCGGACGAGCAAAGGCGGGGTGCTGCTGGCCGGTGTACAAAAACTTCATGCCGCTGCAGGACTTTTTATGCTAATGAGATCGCGTGACCCTCCCTGTGTGTATAAAGTTGTGCGATGCTTCACAGAAAATTTTTATTATATCAAGTCGTTCATTATATTCCGCAACAAAGAAATCCAAATCAAAATTTGTGAAAAGCAGAAAATTTGGCAATGTCATCAAATTGAGTGAGTTTTCAGCCTCGCTCTGAATTTATACCGGTCGTCGTTGCGTGGCGTTTAATTGCTCTTATCGGCCGGCATTACACGCGTTACAATAAAAACTTAATGAGCCTCGTATTAGGCGGTACATAAAGTTGTGGCAATAACTGCACGCGGCCAGACCAGGTGGACCTTTAGATTAGCCGGCGGCTCGTGTAGCACGAAAATCGGTGAGACCAATAATGCACACAAGTGCGCCGACGGGAAATAATGAGAGAGCCCCTAATCATTTCAATTTTCATTACGTATTCCACGGACGTGTAATTTGAATAATGCACGTAAATGCTGCTGTGCGGCCTATTATTGTACTTTTATACATCTGAATATAAAACTCGTGTTTGCTTAACACGTTCCATTCTGAGTGTTCGGAATTAACTTTATGCTAAAAGCACTGCATTATACATTTCGTTGAAAAAGCCATTAAGATTTACTATGGAATTCAAATTAAATTATAAAAATAAAAAAAATATTTTTAACATAATTTTATTTTATTGAAAGTGGGAAATAAAAATTGTAATTTAACAATTAAATAATTAATAGCAAAATTGCAATAATTGGTCTTTTTTATTGTCTTGCATACCATTTCATCTCTCGCAATATGTAATTTTTATACTTATTTACAAGTAAATGATAAGAATTTTTCTCACATTTTCTGTCACACGTGCTGCTTAATCATCAAAATTGTCTAGTATAATTTTAGACCATTTCTTTTTTATGCTCATGGGAATCTCAAGTGGCTTGTTGTGATTAGTGTTGAGCGCTGTTTGACACTCGCCGCTCTCCTCTCGACTTTATATCTCAAGAAAAGCAATCAATCGCGGAATAGCTCAACAAATTCGTCTATTCCTTTCTCCCTTTTTCAGCGCCGCTCGCCGCCACTCGAACGCGCGATAAAGAAAGTGCGAATTATTTGAAGTAGCAAATGCGGTCCTCATTGCCGCTATCTAGCGATGCACTTCACCCATGATAATTATATTGCTTGCCGTTCTTGAACATCATTATCGCTTCGCGGCATCAATGAAGAGGACAAAAGCGCCGCCTGCCCACTATCAATAAATAATAAAACTCCTAATCTTCGCTAATTACATCGAGTCTCATTGATAATCGAGCCGCTATTCATTTCGAATTATTCCTTCATATCACTTATTGACTTTTTTTATATTCCTTCGTCACTTTTCGCACGTAAAAAAAAATCTAGGAGCGGCCGGCCTAAAAAAAAGTTATGATCCTATTCTTTTCTTTCTTTTTCTCGGCACAGACTCAATAATAATAAAAGTAATCCGGGGCATTAAATATAAATCTGAGTCGTGCCGCCGCCGGAGCCGCCGTGCGCGGAGCCGAGGGGGGCTAAAAGCAGGGGCGAGCTGCAAGATGGATGGGGAGTCGTTTCCACCACTTTGCGCCCCCCTAAGAGCGCCGGCGGGGGTGGCTGCTCTTTTTGCCTTGGAAATTATTTATTACCCCGTCGGCAGACGTCTGATGCCATAATAAATAGAATCAGGATACACGTCGTAATCACGCTTAATGGAGTAATTAATTGCATCTCACCGCGGCGCAATTTCGCGCTTCCTTTGCCACCGGCAATATTAAACGCACAAATATCAGCATTGCATCCCAAAAATATTGGCAAGCTTCTTTTTGTTATTTTTTAATATATCTTTCTTCCGTCAAAATACAAACAAAATTATAAAAATTTGAAATAATACTTTAATATTTTAAGATGCTAATTTTTACATAAGCATATTGTGGCATAGTATATTTTTTCTAACCAATGGAAGCAACCATATGAACATTATAATTTATTTTACTCAAAAAGAAAATTATAAATGTTCTAATGTTTCAATTTTTTTTTCATAATGACTGGATTAAAAGAATAAGCTGAAAATTATTGGAAAAAAATGGTCTAAAAAAATTAATTAATTTCAAATAAAACTAATTGATCTGTAACCTTAATTAAAATTAAATAATCAGATTAATATATAAATATTGTAGAAATATAAGTATGTATAACGTAGGGCACAATTCATTGTAAAGCACAAAGTAACTATAGGTGTATACATTTAATATTAATAAAGTACTATATGGAAATGAAAGGATTTTAGAAATATTTAATAATTTAAAATTAATCCATTTATTTTGTTAATATTGAAGTTTAATTTTTATAATAATTTTAGCCTTCGCTGATATATTTTTAATTTAAATATTATTGGAATTCAATTAAATCACTTTGTTAGTTTGACTGATAAAGTGCTGGTTTTTGTACAGATGAAAAATATCCCTAGAGAACTGCAGACATCACAATTTGACGTATTTCTCTTTCCCTGCATTATTCTGATTGACAAGTGACTTGCTTGCCGACAATGACTTAGTTAGCTGCATTATTTTCTCACTGCGCTGAGGGCCGGGGAATATCGAGCCTCGAGAGCAACACAAGGGCGACCCCTGTGCAGAAGAGCGCAATGCTATGAGTGTAAATATAGGCGCGCATTCATCTCCCACGGGGCCCCACACGTCATTTGCATCTCATCGCCCCCTTTTAATTAAACGACGCCCTAATTGTCACATGTGGCGCCGCCGCTCACCCCATCACCACTAGTATCTTGAATATCAAATTGAAAATAAAAAATTATTAATTATTGTTGAATTTTTGAGCTTGATTGTTGAAATTTAGTTGAAAATGAACAATATAAGGAAAAAAATTAAATATAATAAACACTCTAACTTTTCTGGTGCAATAAACTCGCATTTAAAAGTCTTGGTGTATTTTCGTGAGCAAAACTGCTTGTGTGGCCCGTTTGCTTTCCCTTTATTGGCAGCAATATAAGGCGCGCGGTCATAAATTAGTGAATAACCTCCCTCGGCCGGGCCGCCCGCCTCGAACTCTGCAGAGAAGAGCCGCGCCGAAAAAAGACTTTCCAGCAAATCCACCGACAGGTATGAGCGCTGGGGATTTTGTTTTATGGTAGCTCGATTCCTTCGCATGCAAATCGTTTTGTTCCAACACAGTCTTTTAAACGTTTTATTGCCGCGCGCACGGCGTTATTACGCTCTATTATTATTAAACAGTTAATTTTTCTTCTCTCGGCGTCTCTCAGCGCGCAGCTCTCTTCACGTGCAAAGCAGCCCGATAATTTGCCAACTTGTAATTTGGATTGTAAAGTCTGCGCTTCTGTTCGCAGTTCGTTATCACTTTTGTGTGAAGCGTCGGAAATCTCTCCAATTAAAAATTTAATTATCGGTTCTCTAAATGGTATAATATTTTCCCCTATGCAAAAAAGATTGAGTGAGCTTTCGTGGCACATTTTATATAATGAGACATAAAAGTATCAGCCGCAAGAAAGTCGCAGGGTTTCCGATTTTGGGTTTGATATAGGCAAGCTCGTTTGGTTTTTTATAATGTAATCCAATCTGCCTCCGTGGCAGGAAAATTTGATATTGTGCTCTCGAGCTAAAGTGGGAAGCCGCACGTGTCACATGCTGTGCTTGCAGCTTTTTGTTATTCTTAATTCCAGAGCTAATCGCACGATATCAATCCGCCGATTTGCAATTTCCTAACGTATGCTCTTTATTTTGTATAGCAAAAGCCATACAAATTCCAACGCCATCAAAATGGTGGGTTTGCTTCTTTTAATTAGCAATAATTGCAGGTTCCTTTTGAAAAATAATTTTAACATTCGCGTCCGTCCGTCCGCAACACATACACGAGTTGCGACTGAAAAGGGAAGGAAAAAGTCACACACACACACACAACAAATACAACAACAGCGGGGAAAATATGCGATTAGATGGCTATCGCCTCATTTCCCTTGTTAACAAAATACAATACAAGGCAGAATTGTGTATTATGGAGTTATGATGTCAAACGCTGCCAACAAAACAACGCTAAGCCCTTTATAATAACGGCCGACTATCACGCCACACAAAAATTATCATTTTATAGTGTATTTTGTGTATGTGTCCTTTTTCGCCGCCCGGCCATTTTTTCCGTCGAACCGAGCATTTTTTTTTCAGCTGATGCACGGCTCGATACGAGCCGGTGCGCAATCACCATGTCGTATTTCATGTTTTTGATTATCCAGCACGAAAACACGCCCGCTTTTTGTCTCGCGGCCCGCAAATGAGCACCACCAATGACAAGTTAATAAATCTCTCTAATTGCGTTTACTTTGGTGTAATTTTTATACTAAAAAATTTCGCGTGCGATTATACATAAAACGATTCTTGACGATGCATGTAAAACATGCTCTTCCCTCGTTAATTTCGTTGCTTTATTTGCCGCCAATAAAAGCAAATTAAATGCACTCGCGGGCTATGCAACTTCATTTTCTCGTGGAAACGCACGGCGCAATAAACGCCGGGCCATCACAGTGGTATATAATAATGTTTATAATAACTCCGCTGCCGGTAATTGCGTGTCCCTTGCATAATAATGAGAGCGGAGAATTGACGCAGAGGCGGCGGCTTGACGTCGCTGCTGCTGGGAAAATCGCAATTTTCACGCTTCTCCAGTTGCAAGCAAGAAATAATATATATGTCTTGCTGCTGAGATAAAATTGCCATTTGAACAAAATACAGCTATTGCTGCCTACGTTTTATGTGTTAATAAATTAAGAAATTATTATTACATATTAATTTTTTTTCTTTGTATTATATAAATGTTTTATTATATTTTATTACAAAACAAAATTAAACGAATTAAAGAGTAAAATATTTATAATTACAATTTATAAATAAATTTAAAAATGTTAGATACTATCATAATAATTAAGATGTGACATGCCTTCCAATCTGCTTGGAAATCCATAAATTCTTTTAAGTCACATAATATTATAGAAAGGATCAAATACCAGTACTCGAAATATCGTTCTCACAAATAAAATAAGATGTTTTTCATCTATTTTTTTCTGAGCACATTCATTTACCATAATACTTTGTTAATAAAAATACAATTTATCGTTAAATTAATACATAAAACATCAAACTTTAAAATAAAATAAGAACTGAGAATTAGGTTCAATCACCATAAACTTTGATTATGTAGATTTAAACTTTGTATCCATTTATCCTAATTTTCTCTGCAAAGCTATATTCGTCATGAAGCAGCATAATTATTATACGAATTGTACATAATTGTATGTCTAATTTTGTATTTGTTTCGCAGAGCAACCCTTACGGCCTCAAAGACAGCTCGTCGTCTGCAGACGTGGCCTGGACGAGCGCCGGTCTGCAGCCCACGACGGGCTATTACCCATATGACCCCACCCTCGCAGCCTACGGGTGAGTAACAAAATCTCTTCCTCTTTTTATTCCTCGTTTTCGCGCCGTCCGCGTCTGCGTTTATTTATTAGATGGAAAAATAAGTCTGCGTCGCCCCCGCTGCACTGTCTTGGCACATTCGTAATAAATTTGACGCCACGTTTATACGCCGCAGTCTCCAGATCGAGTTTCTCGCCCAAATTTATTCTGCCTTCCTTTAATAGCATTCAATCACAATATTAAATATGCATGATTAAAAAATTATTTCTTAATAGCATCTTACAAATCTTATAATGAAACTTAAAGCATCTGTCAATATTGAAGCTAACGAAGTTGAAAGCAAACTCGTTTCGCAACGACTTGATTTGGCCAAGCAAATCCCTCTCGTTTGGTTTGAGGGCTGCAGCAACCCCTGTATAGCTGTTTGGGAAAACAGAGGCCGCGAATGGAACTGTCAAGTGTTTTAATAAGGGGTGCGATGAGTGAGGGGTCCGTCCGTTGGGAGCGCGAGTGTTTGCCAAAGTCAAAGTCTATTTTCACCCCTATCGCGGGCTAGCACGCGTGCGGGGGATGATAATGACACGCGGCGCGAAATGTATCATGCATTAAGCTTTCGGTCGGGGCCCAGCATTAACCCCGGCCGGCGAGAGGGACTGACGTCACTTTAATCTGCATTTCGGGGGAGTGGCTGCGCTCTATGTGCGTCGCTATTTCGCCAGCAGGTGAAGCCAGCTGTGCGCCCTTGCAAATCGAATGGTGAATAAATCCACCCAGCAACTCGGCCCAAGGGGTGCGATATTGAAATCTCAATGGCTCTGTATATGCTCGATCCGGGGTGAAATTTTAGAGGGGTTTAATTAACGCACAGTCAGCTTATGCGCGACTTTGAAATCCTTGATCAAGAGAAGCCCTCGAAGGTCGAACGGAATTAAAAATGCGGGCTCGGTGACATTGAGCACTTCGTTTCTCGCGGCGACAATTAATATGCACGCGAAGTGGCGCTCTTGATTTATAAATATTCGTATTGGATCGAGCGAGACTTGAATGTTAAGTATAATTTATTTCAGTGGTGGAATTACTTATTATTGCTCTTAAATCCATTTTTATTACGGGTTATAGTCGTTTCACTTAATTAATTAGATGTCTAATTTTTTTACATTACGTTGTAAATGCAAAATTATTTAGTAATTCATTTTCAAGTAGTATTCATTAAAGAAGCAATTCAAATTTGCCAAGATTAGCAAAGAATGTGGGCGATAAAAAGACACAGAAGTGCGGAGATAAAACGTCTACATTGGGCCCTGGTGGTGCAATTTACAAACCGCTGTTCACTCGATTAATCTTGTTTGAGTTTTCCTGCTCTTTCGCACACAAAAAGGCGCTGATTAAACAAGGCGTGGAAAAGAGGGTAGAGACGAGAGAAAAATTTTCACGAGCAGCAGCAGCAGCAGCAGTTCCGAAGGCGGAATAATCTGAAAGGGAAAAGGCGCGCGACAGGCACTCAAAACAAAAGCGTCGTCGTTTGGCGCCGCGCGCAGCTGAGAGAAGAAAGATTGAGTTTGCGAATAAAAAGCGGCGAAGAAAAGAGAGACGGAGGAAAGACAAAGAAGTTTGCGGTTTATAGAGGAAAGTTTGCTGTCGGGTGTCACTAGAGAGCATTGAGCTGGTAGTTTTATTTTGCAGCCAGCGAACATCTCGTAAAATATGCCGCTCTCTTCCTCTTCCTTCCGACTACAACACGCGCCAGCAAGACAAAATGGCCCGTGTACCACACACATTCACGTACTACTATATTGATTGAAAACGCAGAGAGCGGCCGGGTTTGTGGGCCAGAGCGACGAGGGAGGCGAGGGAGAAATTCGCATGCCGCGCGATTAAAATGCCTCTTTCCTGCGAGCAGCGTTTAGCTCGCGCTAATTTCACGGAGAATATACGCAAAAAATCTCACGGCAATTTTTCAGACGAAAAACATAACATGCAGAAAGTCTTTAAGGTCTTAAGGTGTCTGTCCGAGATGCTGAGATAATGTTTAAATCGCTTGTCGTCTTTGTGTATGTATGGAATAATTATTTAATTACACGCGCTGCTTCAACGCACCGAGCAACTCTTTAATTGTCCCCGAAAGAGCGACAAACTTCCGCTCTTTCGGTCGTTTTTTTTTTTTATCTCTTCGCGGCCATTTCACCTGCTGGTGCGCCGGGGTCTCGCGTGACTCCTGGCGCGGATCGGACCAACGCTCGCCGTTCACTCAGCGCCCGTTAGCTTCGAGAACCCTTCCTTCTGCCAGTGGAAAATATTTCGCCACCCTTGGTGCATAATGAGAGAAAGGAGGTGCCGCTTTTTGCGCCCTTTTGTTTTTATCGCGCGTGTTAATTAATAATCCGCGCGCCAAACTTCGCGAGTGTTCGTGGCTGCTGGCTGCTGCTGATGATAAAACTAATAAAGAATGGCTTGCGTGCCGCTCTCATTAATTATTGCAGGCAGTAAAAAGTTAAAGGTTTCACACTCTTGCTCTTCTCTCTGCTCTTTTCCTTCGAGCCTCAGCGATGCAGGTGTTTTAATTTTCTCGCTCCGGCTCTCGGCTCGGCCATTCCCTGATTATTTTTCTCAAACCTGGATTGGAAAGTGTCTTCGTTAGGCTTGAAGGCTGAATTTTGTGTTATCTTTCTTGCCAGCGAACGAACGAAACGAACGAGCACCTTTAGAACCGGTTTAACTCTATCGCGCTGCTCGACCGACCGGCGCTGCACCTTCCAAACGCCTCGCGCTTAGGCTAACCCGCACGACAGCCAACTCGCAACTTGCTTTCTATTCATTTATTCTGAAAGGGATCAAGATATAATTTCAATTCTATACCTGGATTTGTATAAAAAAAATAGAATGTGGCTCTATTTCCAATAATTTCTTTAAATTCACAAAATTGTTTTTGCAAAAATAAAATTTTAGCCTGAACAATTGCAATATGATTATTATTACAATTATTGTTGTCCATATATGATTTTTTTATTAATATAAAATATCTACAAAATAAGTTGTAAATTTTAAATTTTGGTTTATACTTATTCAATTTTTAATTGACGTGAATGCGCTTTTATAAATTTGAATTGCTGATTGAATGTGCGCAATCTCTCAACAGTGCGCACAGCAGCTCCTTTCATTCCCTTCTCCAACACTTGGCAGTCGCACCAGTAAAAATAATTACACTTGTTCGACAAATCCCCTCTTTCAAATTGCGCCACGACAAGGCGGGCAATTGGCAAATAGGTGCGCGTCGGCATTACACGGTGTGCGTACTTAGCGGCGGCGCGTATGTGCGCCAATCAAGTGCATGTACTGCAAGCGTGTTGCCAGGCAACGCGACCCGCACTCGAATATCGAACTCGCGCGCCGCGCCCGTTCCAACTCCAGCACGCGGCTTTCCTCATTTTCCACCGAAAGCTTTCACTGCAGCCGGGCAAAATTTTTGTTTTTCCTCGAAATTTTATATTTTGGGTGCGAACGGAATAAAGCTGCACTTGGTGGTCGCGGCCGGAGCACTTAAAATTCCGGCTGCATTAGGTGTGGGACTGAGCGGCAGCAGACGGTCGCCATAGCAACTGCTCGGAAAAGAGAGAGGAAAGAGAGAAAATAAAGAGAGCACGTGGATTTAGAGGGAGTTTATTTTCCCATAAAACGTGTTGCAATATAACTTTGGTGTAAAGGGGCCTCTGCTGCGGGGAAAAAGTGTGCGCCGAGTCGAGCGAGTTTTAAAGTTGCGCCGGCCGCCGCCGCCGCCGCGTTGGGAAAACGCGCAGTTGAATTATTCGGCGCGTACTACTACAATAAACATTTACAACGCCGCATATAAACGCCGCGTGATGAGCAGCACCGCGGCACAGCATTATTTTATGGTGCGAATCCGAGCGCACGCAGATTGCGTGTTTTTCGTATACCGGTGCCGGCTGCGTCAACTCAAAACGCGTGAAAATTCGGCACGTTTTTCCAGGTGGCGCGAAATCGAATTTCCTGGCTGTTGTTAATGTGAAATGAAACCTCTAGTTAATTTTAGCTCAAAAAAACTTTTAATATAAAATTACAAAATTGCTACTTTTTAAAATAAAATACTTTCTTGATAATAAATTTTAATTTATATAATTTTATTATAGCTGATTATTTGAATATATTTATTTCATTTCATACAAAATTTAAAATTTGGGTCCAATTTACTGTAAAAATAAATATGTAATTTAAAATTTTAAATCTAAATTTACAAGCATCATATGCAAAATCCATCAGTAAGTGTAAGTTGCAAACATCTTTTGATTGATTATTATGTGGTCAGATCTACGTTTGATATTGTTTTTACTTCTGTCATAAGGCATTGAAAACTATACATATTAATGAATGGGAAATAAAATTTATCCAAATTAGATGTAATAAATGAGCAAATTTTTTCAAGTAATTTCAATTTGATAAATGACTATAAATTAAAAAATTTGAACAAACAATTTTTGTATGTGATGGCTTATTTGTTGGACGACATGAGATAAAATATATTGTAAAATTTTTAAATTTATCCTTCAAAAAGGGATAAACATGAAAATCGTTAAAATTAAACCAGCCTTTTTTGCTTCTTTTCTTACTTACAATAAATCAAATCAGTTTCAATCTTTTATCCTTGCGATGCGACACCGTGGGCTAAACACACACGCATTCTATTAATCGTTAGTATATATAATAAACTTTTTTATTCCAAAATAAAAGCCGCACAACCTCTCTCTGATGCCGCTCTGGTCGGCCATAAATTTTCCTTAAATTCTCATTTAAAAAGCAGGTTTCGTCGCCTCATTGTTATCTACTCTGCTGGGATGGGATTTAAATAAGGAGGTATGCAGCGTGCAGAGCAGAGAAATAGAGATAAGGCGCTCAGAATTGTGGAGGTGAGAACAAGCGAGCTGCTTTTCGATGGAGCGGCCGAGACAAGCGCGGCGAGCGCAGTTATGTCACTCCCATCAGCGCACCGGAGCAGGAAAAATCAATCGTGTTGAGCCTCGACACGCATACACAATATAAAAGCTGGCGAACGATCGGTTTTACGAGCGCGTGTAAAGATTAAGAGAACAGAAATAATGCTAATTAAACGATGGGAGACGGAAAATAAGCGGCCAAACCGAGTTATGAATGGAGCAATAAATTTTTGCGAATCTGATGTATATCTGAGCGAATGCATCTCTCTGTGTTTTGTGCTGGCCGGAGAGGCGCGAATAACTTTTGCGCTTTTTATCCGCTCAGGTGCGAGAGTGAATGAAACGGCGGAGAGATCGCCTTTCGATAAAACGCCGGCTTGTTTATTTTTCTTTCGACGCTTCTTTTTTTAACTTCTTCGTCTTTTTATTCTTTTTTTCTAGCTCCATTGATATACATTTTATTTTATGCTGAATGAATTTGTTACTGCCGCGAACAATGGATCATGTCTTGCCGCGAGAAAGGGGCGGTTTAATGGGCGAAATAAGTGAATTAATAAAAATGAGCCGCGCGACCGCGCGCGCGGGCGGGAGAAACGACGGGAAAAGTGGCCTCTTTTCCTCTCTATCCAACTTCTCTCCCCCAGTCAGAGAGAAAGATTAACTCGGGAGAGTTCATCATTAAGCGAGAGAGCGCAGCTTCAATATAAGACCCTTCAGCCGGCAGAGAGGGTGAGCAAATAGATTAGAGTGGCCTCTCTCTTTCTATAGCTGTTGAGTCGGCAGTTTACATTATATCGCCGCTGCTGGAAATTAGGGCGAAAAAGAGGCAAATTTCATCGCGAAAATTGCCCATTTATTCAAGAGCGAGAAAATTTCATTTTCATTTTCTCCTTTTCGGTTATGTGACTCGATCAAAATGAAATATGCCGGAATGAGATGGGGTGCGTGCGCGCAATAATGTATGTAAAGGCGCTGGGCGAAATTTGCTTGCTCGAACACAAATCATCGTGCGCGCGAGGAGCCGTCTTTTGATATAAAAGCTGTTAAAATGGGATTGGGAACAGCTGCTGCCAGAATTGCGCGCTCGACGAGCGAAAATAAGTGAGCGAGAGAGAGAAAGAAAGAGATTCATGGCCCTCTTTCACTCGGGCGCTTTACGAAAGTGCAGCAGCAGCCACCCCTGAGCAAAGCAGGGAGAGAAAGAAAGAAAGAAATGCGAGCTTTTTTCCTTTCGCCTCCCTTGGAGAAGTTTGCGCGTCGCGAGAGATCGCCTGTTGCTCTTTCTCTCTATAAGAGATATGCAAATATTGTCGCTCGACGTTTGTTTTCATTTTTTTTTCTCTCATTTTTCGCCTGCTCTGTGAGTGTTGGTGCTGCGCGGATTGATATTCCCCGCGGGCCAAACCGAGCTCGGCTCTCATTCCGTCGCTCGAGTGCCTTTGGGAATTCGCGCCAATATGCGCTGCCGCCGCGTGATTTCACCCGATATCGCTCCTTAAGTGCTTAATGTTTTGTCGGAAATGGAGTGTGCGAAATAACGTTTTGCCGTACTTCTCCCTTGCCGGGTTGCTCTCCACTTTCAAGTGTTATCTTTCGTCACGCGTGCCTTAAAACAAAAACGAAGCAAAAGTTTGTATGATGATAAAACTTTATAATTTTTTCTTCAATAAATTCGTTGAATAATAAATATTTGGTTATTCGAAGCCAAAGAGATTATTAGAGTTATTGTTTGAGAAAAGATGCTAAAGTACCAAAATTATTTAACATTTTTTAGGATAATTAATTATAACAAATCATAAACAAAATTAATTTGAAATTAAGAACAAAATTTTGCAATGTACATCAAATCACTACTTAAGGATTCCTTACTGGCATTGATACATCATGTCCTCTCAAAAATATTAGAGCTATTTAGAGTATTGTAATTTTTAAATTTGAAACAAATCACTTCTTTATTTTTTTTTTATTTTGTGAGTGTATAAAAGGAGAGATCACATTTAAATTTTCAAAAATAAGTCAAAAACTAAAAATAAAACTGATATTTTTGTTAGCTTTCAAAATTTCACCCCCCTCAAAGTGACAAATTGCAAACTTCGTCTGCTCTCTATATCTCCATTAGCCAATTAAAAGCGGAAGCCTCTCTTATTTATTTCCCAATTCATTCATCTTCCCATTAAAAGCACAACAGCCGGGGGTGGAAAAGGTGCGGCTCGGCGGGAAAGCTGCAGCGGGGAAAGTCGTGGAAATCTGCCTGCCTGTGTGCGAGAGAGCGTGGTTGTGACAGTATGTGTGTGTGTGTGTGTGCAGTGCGAGAGCGGGGGTTGAAATATATTAAGCAGGCCGCGTGATAAATGGAGCCATGCATCACCCTCGGCTGCCAACCCCGTAAAAGCACCGCAGCCCATCCCCTAGCGCGCGCGGCAGACTCTCTGCGTTCGCGGAAATTCGCCTTCTCCGACGGCCAAAAAATTTCATAAATAATAAAAATATTACAAAATAATCGCGACAATGAGGGGGGTCGAATGCGAACAGCAGGTGCGTGTCTGCGTTGCGGTGGCTGCGGGGCAAGCGAGGGGAGGCGGAGGGGTGATTGATTCGCGGCAGCGACTGTTTCGCGAAATGATGGATGAATTTGGTGCGCCCCGGCCGGGCATGCGTGACGTCACCGTACCTGATGGGGGTGAATTTCACCCGCTGTCCGGGGGTTGATGTGGGCAGTGCGTACAGCCGCACGCTATGCGGCCAACCGCGCCGCTGCAGATAAAACACGCAGATGATGCCGGCCGCTTTCACCAACGGCCCGACAAAATGTATAGTGCAAAATCTATGGCTCCCTGTTGACATGCTTTCAAAAATTCACAATACGATAGCACTATAGGGTATTTTATTTGTAGATTTGTTCAACATATTTTATATAAATCACATTTTCATCAAATATTAAAAAGAATAATTAATTGAGTTCTTTTATCATTTTCATGTGCTAAAAATACAATCATATCAAGGAAATTATATTGATTTTAAATTATATGATAATTTATGCATACAATTTTGTTAATTTTATATGTTCCCAAACACCAAAAAAAATTTAAAACACGTAAAACAATCATTTTATCCATTTCATTTTATCTGTTAGAAAAATGTATGCAATGTGTCGTTGTTGTTTGTTTGTTACAAATAATTAATAAATTATGATTTTAGTGTAATTTATGAGTGGAAGTGTAATCTGATTAAAAAGAAAAATGTAAATATTTTGCAGAACTGTTGGATGGGGGGACTGTAGAATGTGCTTGAATACATGCATTCAGGAAGATATTATGCATAATGGAGACCCAAATAATATCAACATATTAAGGTGATTATAAACTGCGCTTCATAGAAAAAAGACATTCCTTCATACATTAATAAACATTATTGAAACTAAGTTTTATTTTTTCTATAGTAAAAAATTCATCACGCTAAATAATATTTAAAGTTATAAAAACACCAATTTCAGTGACGCCTTAATTAGCACAAAATTGATTCTTCCCCTCGCTCATAAATGTAATATTATGCTATCCAATCTGGTTCTTTCCTACTACCGTCCTCTCATTGATAAATCAACGTCCCCCAAACGAGGCAAAGTGAATTCGGGTCCAGCACGTGTAGTGATTTATGAGTAATCAAAGGGAAATAAGACAGAGGTGGTTCGGATGGGTGGAGCTCGGCGCGGCAGCTCTATGCGTCTAATAAATAAAGCGAGACCGAGCAGCAGCTCTCTAGGCCCGAGACTCTTTATTTTATATATGCTGCTTGATCTCGCCACGTCTGCATTCACGAGTTACAAGAGAGAGGCGGGACGAATAAAGAGAGAGACACACTGCTCTCGGCGCTAATAAAATTGGAAAGAAAAAGACAAACGCACTTTATTATCGCAGACACACCCTTTGACATCATCCCTTTTGTCTCATTCGACCCCGAAGACTTTTGAACTCAAAGTTTGGATTTTTTTATGTTCTCAGGTATGGTGCAGGTTACGACCTGGCGGCGCGGCGGAAGAACGCGACCCGCGAAAGCACGGCCACCCTGAAGGCGTGGCTCAACGAGCACAAGAAGAACCCCTACCCGACCAAGGGCGAGAAGATCATGCTGGCCATCATCACCAAGATGACCCTGACTCAGGTTTCCACGTGGTTCGCGAACGCGCGGCGCCGCCTAAAAAAGGAGAACAAGATGACCTGGGAGCCGAAGAACAAGACAGACGATGACGACGATGCCATGATCTCCGACGGTGACCTGGAGGACTGCAAGGATACCTCAGACATGTCCAGACCCATGGACCACAAGATGGACGACAAAGGTGAGCGAACTTTGTTCTTTTAACTATACACGTTTGGCAAGGGGTGCGACCCTCTGTCTGTTCAATATTCATCGCCCCTCTAATTTCCATTCGCCACCCAACCGAGTGGCACTTACTTAATTCGGAACTCCGAGGCGGAGGAGCGGTTCATTCGCTAGGATTACCGCGCGACCCTCGCGTGTAAAACTTTGCTAAACAAATCCCGGCTGATCTGCGTGAAATTAAATTTCTGCCAGATTGGTGGGAAACATTTATCCGAGCCGGGTGGATTAGTCTCTGGAATGACTTTTTCCCGATTTTGTTCAATCGACATTTTGCAAATTTATTCGCGGCCAATTTTATACATCGAGATTTATAATTTCGTGGTGGCCCGCAGCAGCCACACACGATGGCTGCTGGAATATATCTAAATTAGAAAACGGTGCAGCATCTGATAACTCTCGCCTCCGCTCCTGGTCGCTCTTTACCGTGAGCAGATAATGACAATTACCGGCCGCGCATTAAGCAACCGCAGCGTTTTTCGCAGGAATGCGAGATGAGGCGGCGAGATGGGCGCGCGAGAAGCTACCGTCTGCTCTGCATCCACCAGCAGAGTTCACGGCCGATCTCTCACGCTGCTCTCTGCGTGAGTTTTAAAAATATAATAAAAAATATAGGGCCAAACAGTTGTAAGGGGTTTCCTGTGAAATTTCGGCAAGGGGTAGTTCAAGGTTAGCCATTTGGTTTCCTATTTGTGTTTTTTTTTCGTCTCGCCGGGGTGCGGTAATCCAATCGCCTGGAAGTGGCGGCGCAGGAAATAAAAAAGCATCAGTAACTTTTGCGTCTATTTCCCGCTGATTACGTAACAATTTTTCTTTGTTACTGTTCATATGGTAAAGAGGTGCGATATTTTGCTCAAATTCGTGTTTAGAACTTTGATACGGGGGATCGAGTTTCAAATGCGGTGAGATTTAGAGGAAGAGAGATGCAAAGTATTATCATAATCGATGCAGTTCAGCGAGGGTGTCTCAAGGTTAATGAGCGGTTTTTGGACAGACAACACGCCGCATACAATGTTGTTGCTCAGCGATATCCGTTACCACTTTTGATACAGCTTATCTTCCAAATACCGCCTTTAGAAAGGAAGCATTTTTCCTTTTTACTTTAATTTTATTTTTTCGCTTTTTTTTAGAGACCAAATTCAACAAATAAGGCAAATTGCTTTATGAAACCATTCTAATTTTATCTGCTTTTATAGCAGCCTTTACACAATATATTATTATTTTTATTTTGTACATTGTTTACATTCAATTGTTGAATCAAAATTATTTAAAAAAAGGAATTGTTGGACAAAACGGCACGACCACTTGCAAGAATTTTTCTAAAACTTATGAGATCAGAAAGGCCCCATCCACCGAAAATTTTATTTTAAATGCTTTTTATAAGCTGCTAAACGCAGTAAAGATACATCAATATTAATTGTTTTCCAAAGCGCTTAACAGATGTTTAAATTTCATCAATTGCATAATGAGACATACAATTTCAAGGCAGAATAACTAATTTTAGAATTATTTAATGTTTAAAAATTTAATATTATTTTTATTATTATTTTTGCAAATGACATAAAAAATTAAATATAGAAAAAATTAATATTTTTTGTTTATTGATTTTTTTTTATTTTATAAATAAATTATTTATTGTAAATTTGTATTATGATAAATAGTTGAATGGCTAAAAAAATATTTCAAGCCACCAATTAAATTAGAGATAAAAAATTTTAAATTTAATCTGGAAGTAACCAATATTCCAATATTTGATGTTATAATTACTTGAACTCCAATAGAAAATGGGGATTACTTTAAAGATTTAATTGTCTTGTGAATTTTTACGGAAAAAAATATCATTACAAAATTAGAAAGAGAATTTAGAATTTGGGAAATTTCATTGTTTTTAGGCGGACTTATGATGGGTCACCACCACCACCACCACGTCAAACCGGAAATTATGCACCACCGCATGGGCATGCTGGACGACGAGGATGAGCTGGACGAGCTTGGCAGTAAACCGCTGATGTTGAAAGACGAGGTGAAGAGCGACTGCGGCGTGCCCATTCCAGCGACCAAACCCAAAATCTGGTCTCTGGCCGACACGGCCGCGTGCAAAACTCCGCCACCCGCATCTCAGATGTCCGCTCAGCCCTGGCTGCCCGCGTCGTCCAACAACTTCGCCCTGCCGGCGGCCATCAGTCCGTCGGCGGCCGCGGCCGCCCCCTACTCTCGCTACGGCGGTCTGCTTTCGGGGGGCTACTCGGCCGCCCCCGGGGGCGGCCACCCTGCGGCGTGCTCAGTGGGCGCGTCGGGGTTTCCCGAGGTTCAGACGGACACGCCGCCGCAAACGCCGCCCAACATGAAGCTGCCCAGCGTGGCTGGCCAGCTGATCAGTGGCCCATGTTTCGGCGGCCAGCAGCAGCAGCAGCCGCCGCAGGGGGGCCACCCTCTCCACCATCACCACCACCACCACCACCACCACCACGTGCAGCAGCAGCAGGCTCAGCCGCAGCAGCAGTACCCCCAGCAGCAGGGCTACGGGGCCTACACTGGCCGCATGACTTCGCCCCACGCTAAGGACAGGACCAAGGACGCGGTGCCCTCGCAGTACCACGCCGCCCAGCATCACGCCATGATGAACGGCGGCTCCTCCAACGTGCAGGGCGCCGCCACCGAGGGCTCAACAGCCTTCAAGCCCTTCTACAAAAGGTACGCGATAAATTAATCATTTTATTTCATATTTTCTCTGATATATTTTTTCAGTATTTTTATTTATGATTAGAATGTTTAATTTAATGCTTGAAAACTTTTTATCATAGTTAAAATATTGATAAAAAAAATTTAAGCATGCAAGTTAGAATATTTGCAAAGATGAAAAATATGATGATTGGATTTTAAAAATTCAAATAGTCAATCTAAACTGAAAAAGATAAAGAGATAATTATTTTGAAAGGCCAAAAAATTGGCTGAAAAATTGCTCTCTCTAAGGTATTGAAAAAATTAACTGAAAATTAGAGCTTTCAATGAGACTATAATTATACTGAAGATTTTTTTTTCATTCTTGCAAAGCAAAATTTAGCATTAAAATTTAAAAATTTCGTTGCCATTTTAACATTTTTCTTTCAAATTTTACGCAATTTACAAAATTTAAAGATATTTTCTTTCAATGAAAAAAAAATTAAGATTCCCCTAGCGATTTAAACCTTACCAAAATAGCAACCCGCATCCCTCTTGTTGATTTTTTTTTGCCCTTGCAAACATTATTCCATCCTAATTGAGCGAAGAGTAAAGCGGGGCGAATCCAAAAGTTTCGCATCCCAAGCAAGACCCGTGGCGCTTACTTTGCCAAACTCGGGGCGAAACTTAGCGCAGCAAAACTTTCGGTCCGCCTCTTCTCTTGCAAACGTCCCGCGGGTCTTTCATGCAAAACAAGCCGGGCAAAAAGATAAGCTGAACGGCAGGGAAAATTAACAAGAGAGAGTAGCTGCTGATAAAGCAGGGCATAGCTCCGAGGAGGCCAATTTGCCGCCGCCCGATTCGATTTCAGCAGCTCGTAAACACTTTGTTTATCTTGCTAATGAAATGAATTCGCCCGGCAGCGGCCAACTGGTTTAATGACAATGGAAATTATTGGTAATCGAGCGTCTCATTATGTGTTGGCAGTTCGCATCCGCTGGGCGGGTTCGTGTCTCCCGTGTAGCAGCTCGACGGGCGCGAGAGACTCCAGCTCAACACGGCAAATCGTCCTCCGCGGCGTCTCCAAGCCGAGCAGGTAAGAATTACTTTTTTTTTCGTATAAAAAATTAAACTGAACTATCGCATCAGCTGCTGTGCATCTTTGGCCAAATTACCAAAGAGAATGTCTAGAAAAGCCCCAAGTCAGATTTTATATGGAAATTGCTCGGGTGTTGACAGGGCGCTGCTCATTTCGGATTCCAAGAGCCGCGAGCCACAATGGCCCAATAACAGTTATTAATCGATTCTGAAATTTCCATCCTCAACTTCTTATATTTTTTTTTTATATATAACTGCGACTTGACTCAATTTTTTGAGATAAGAGTATAATAAATAACGGCGCTGATAGAAACGTCTAGTCTCTCAGAAATAAAGTTGGCGAAAAGTCGGCGCTCATTATCTCTTCTTCAACTTCACCTGCCTGCCTGCCCGTGTGTGCCATAGGTGTTTCATTCATGCGCCCATGTGCCATTATCTGTCGGTGCAAAAAGGCGCAGGAGTGATTTTTCCGAGTGCGTGAAACTCTTCTCTCCATATGCGATATTCAACATCACACCACGTGAGACTGCTGTTTTTCTCTCTCTTTCTCTTATATACGCTGCTGCGCTGACATTGACAAATCACCGCAGATACCCATCAGAGAACCTGTTAAAAAATAAATTTCAAGTGCTGGAGACGCGCGGAGAAAAAATTTATATATGTGTGTAAAAATATGTCGGGTCCGAGCACAGCTCTAGGTCTCTCACGGCAAACGAAAGAGCGCGGTGTGTAATGATAATTGACAATATGAGGATTTGTCACCGGCGAGGTGTTTAATAATAAATTTTAATGACAGATTCGTATATTTATAAACAAAGGCCCGTCACAGTTGTAGCACTTCATTTGTTATTGGGCGGAACCGGTTTTGTGTGACGGAAAGAAAGTCTGCCTCGGTAGGTCTGACTTGTGAGATGGGAAGAGAGATGGATAGAGCAGAGAGAACAAAAAATCACCTCGAGTCGAAATATTCTCACCGCCATTTGAAATTCAAATTAATCGATGTGAAAAATTTTCCAAGCCGTTGTCAAAATCAATTCACTCTCCTTTTGCATGTACAATCTTGCATGGTAATTTAATCATGGCGCCACGGAGAAAGTTGAATTGAAGTAAAGTGTATAAAATATTATCTTACAGACTCAAGAATGATTTTGATGTTAAAATGTGTATTTATTTAACCAAATTTAAAAAAAAATGAACTGAACTTTCATTATTTTAGTTAATTAAATATATTATTAAATTAAACGGCGTTAGTTAGGATAGAAATAATAAATAAGAATTTTTAATGCCATTTGTAAAAAGTGCAGTGAAAATTTTCTATTTGTGTTAATATTTATTGCAAAATGCAGCATCTCTTTCTTAGCTACACAGGCTAAACAAAATACGCACTTAACTTCATAAGCATTTAATTTTATTTTTCGTCTGAAAACTTGCTCTTTTTCTTATTTACAAGCGTGATTATGGACTGAATATAATTTATAAATTTTGCTTTAAATAAAATAAGTACTGGTTTCAATCCGAATTTCCATGTTAACAAGGCATTTTAATGCGACTGAGTTTAGGCCGCTTAATCACAGTAATTTTTTCGTTGTGTTTTGGCCGCTTTTACGTCGAATGATGTCCGGCTTGTTGCTGGATAAATAAAGCGAGAGGAAAATATTATGAGCGGTGTAACGGCGGCCAATTACAGGCCTGCTATTAGTCCGTTTTATGTGTACTTTGCGTCCGCGCTACTTAATAAACGCTGCTGCTGCCGTAATCAAAGAACCCTCTCGGAGCAACAAGGCTCAAATTATACCCTTGGCCGCGAATCGGGCGAGCAAACAAAATTACTTAAGTGATAAAACAGTTGTTTATTATAATGGGCCTCGCGGTGAGGTTTTTGGGCTTGGCCGAATTATATAATAATGCTGGCAGACAATCGATCCGATAATGAGGCATTTGTACATCAAAGCTCAAAGTTAATCTTAACTCTTTTTTCTCTTGTTTCAGATGATGGCGAGGCGCGGAGGATTGTTTTTGTTACACGGGGTGTGAACGCAGCGGACTCGTTTTTGCTACAAATCTTTGCATAAAATGAAACAGGACGTGCGATCGAGAGTTTATCTTGTTTTCTGGTGCGGTACGTGTATAGTCCAAGACTGACAACGTGAATTATTATTACTATTATCGAATTCGTTTCTAATAAGCAAGTGAAGGAAGACGTATGTGTGCGTGTCGTAAGTTTGTGTGAGAGAGAAAAGAATTATATCTGATCGAGTTGTTAATCGCGAATCATATTAATCCCACACACATCATACAACTAATTTGCGTGCAATTTTATGTGGATAAAAAAAATACTTTTTCAAATTGGATCGTGTTGTTTGTTGTCTTTATATAAATATCATCATCGGAGTATTTGCATTTATTTAACTGTGATAAAAAGTAAAATGAAAAAAACGGTCAAAGTATATCTTTTGAATGGAACCCCAGCAGCTGAAATTTCTTATTAACGAATGAACTACTTAAAAAAAATAACTCCTCTGATGATCACGTTGAATACTTAAACAAGTGACAGTGCAAATTAAACTTAATTAAATGCTATTTATTGTTTTTCCCCATTTTTATCGTAATGTGTATTACTCTGGAATGTGCGCAAAGAAAAGAACTTGATTGATTCTTATAATACTATTATTATGTATACTTTAAATGTTCACGTTGATATTGTAACGGGAGATGCAGCTGAAAGGAATTCCTTTGATTGTATATGTTTCTTGGAGTTTTATTCCAAATGAACTCTGATTGTAAATAGACGACGGTTTAAAAATTTGCGCGAATGGAGCGAAAATGATGTACATGTAGCCTGTAAGTGCAGTAATTTTATCTCTCATTCACTCACACCGACTCATTCATTGCTACTCCTACTACTGTACACCGCTGTATTATCCCTTCATTCAGCCGAGAGCAGATTAAATATATATATAAATACAAATATGAAATGAGCAAATAAAAAAGCGTATAAATCAGACAGCAGTTTTTCATTTCATCTCTGTTTGCGATGTGGACTTAGAATAAATTAAGCCGAAAGTAAGACGAAAGAAAGAAACTCCGACCGGCCCGAATATAAATTGCGCTGGCTTTTGGGGAACATTTATTATTTCCAGCTTTGTTTTACGCGGGTGACACTTTAAATTTATAATATTGGCCTCAGCGCCGCGTGTGCTGTGTACGTATATACGTCGAGAGAGGCCGAGCGAGAGCAGAGAGAGCTATATTTTAAATGTGTCGTGCGTGGTGCCTCTATGCCCCTTATGCAAATCAAACCGTAGGCAAAATGTAGCAACATACGTTACCACCACTCAATATTTCCTGCTTAACACATTTTTCATTTTATTGGATTCTTTTTAATCTTACTATCAGAATTGTTTCAAAAATATTTTTGAAGATTGCATAATAATGAGATATTCTATTAATAAATTTAATTATAATACTTCAATCTCAATTATTTGAACCCTTTGATGCAGAAAATTTAATATAAGTTTTAAATTTTATATCATTAATGTATATAATTTATTGAGCCTAGAGAATTTTCGTACTTTATTTACTTGGCCAAATTTATAAAACATACAATAAAGTTATTATATTTTTTTTAATAAATAAAAATTTTTACTACGTTTATATTTTAAGAGCTTATTACGTCATGGAATTCAATCTATTTTGTCCATGAAGACAACATAAATTTAGAAAATTAGAAATATAAAGCAATGCAAGATACAAATAAAGCGAGTTGAAAGTATCAAGAAGGAGGCATTTACTGAATAATTAATTTATAGGTCTTTGAATAGGACCAATAATTGGCAAAATTTATCATTCTGCAAAGCTAGCTGGACGAGAGATGAAGCAACAAACAACGCCTCTGACGGGCCTAGCAAATAAAAATCCTACTTTACTCGTTCTCCGATATGATCTTAATAGTGCGCGCCTCACACCGCGCCATTCATTCAGCCTCCGCATCCTCTGCCCTCTGTTCGTTTTGTATGTATATTATTCTATTCCACCCATAAATTCCGAGCACCGATTTCGCTTCCACCCGAGCCGCCGCAGCGTCATCCTGCACCACCAAGAAACAACACGTATAGAGAAGAAGAAGAAGAGAAAATTCCGTGAGGTGCGCACCGCGCGTTTTATTTGAATATAATGATGCTGGAAGGAGGCAATAAAAGTCCAATAAATAGCGGCTCGCGCACCGAAAAAGACTGTTTAGAGGAGAAAAAGAAAAGAGGCGTGTAGCTTCTCGGCCCGGCCGGGTTGGTTATATTGCACCGAGGGTCGTAAACAGCACCCAGAGCGATTGCAGGTCACTCGCGAGTGACCCTTGTCTGGACCACACACGAAGCCTTTAATTGTTTTCGTGCGATAAGGGGCGGCTGATAAGCGCCCAATAAAGATAGCCCGACTTTAATTGGCATCGCTTGCTTGCACAGCGCGCGCACCTGCTGCCGCCCTGGAGCTTTTTATATTTATTCAAATTCGCGCGCGATGATGGCTCATCGCCTTTCGAAACGCATTTTGCGGCCTAATCGCCCAATTTCATCGCGCGTTTCGTGCCGAAATCTGCAGATGATTCAGGCTGACGTGCTGGAACTGTGACACACTCGCCCCCCCTTCGTGATAATTGATGCGTCTAATTTGAATTCGCCGGCTGACGTGAATTGCTCAAAACGAAGAGAATTAGCATATTCGTGAAACATGCATCCCGGAAAAATGAGAAACGATCAAATTGATTAAGGAAGAAAGTTGCTTGTCGAATGAAAGGAGGCTTTCCTTCTTGACAGACAAAAGATTTTTGTAGTAGATTTGTACATGTTGTTGAAATATTATCCCCGGGCTGAATTTGCAACCGGCTGTTTAAATTAATTAATGATAAATTTTGGAGAAAAGCACGCATTGTTATGGAAAACTGAAGTTTGGCTTTTATTGGCTTAGGTAGCTTTGTTACTCATTTTTCATTTAGGATGCAATGCATGTAAAATAATGTAATATAATTATAATGAAAGGTTCCTGACCAAAAGAGTGTTCGCCGCCCTTTGGTCAGACAACTATGCAATTGGCATGAATGATAAAAAAAAAACTCCAAAAAAACATTTAAAAAAAATTACAAACTTATTGTAATTTTTAGAAGCATTAAATAATTTTAGGATTCATTGTATATGTATTAAAGCTTCAAGGCTTGCAAGTTGATTTAAAAATAATTTCTCTAGTGATTTGACAATGATGTTTTCTTCTTATAAAGCAATTATTTTTTAATTCTTTAAAAAATGCTCATAATGATTATACTTAAAGAACAAGCACCTGCCAGATCAGGAAGTTTTCAAATTGTGGAGAATTATAAGAACAATTGTCATCAAAATTACAACTCTTCAGGAGTCCGATTATGTAATTTTATTATGCTTGTTTTCAAAGTATATCTTTTTAAAAAATTGATAGGTTTTCATAATGGCAAAAGAAATTTCAAATATTAGTAATTATGAAAAATGATAAAAAAAAATATCGTAATAAGTTAAAATGATAACCTAAACGATATAAAAATAATTTTTAAATAAAATTTTTAACAAAATTATTTTAAAATGTATTTTTTTTCTGTACAATAATATCCGTCTTATTAATTTTATCCTATGAAGGGAATGGGTCAAAGAAATATTTCTTATATGGAGTTATTCAAAATATATGAAAAAAAAATCGACAATTGTAGTTGAACGGTCTTTTTTTTAATACAAAATTAAACATTCAGTAAACATAATTTTGTTAAATCTGTTTTCAAATCTTGTTTCTATAATAGATTTCCAAAAAGATATTCAAGGCACCAAGTTATTGAAATGAGTTTTGGGACAGGTCACGGGCCGGATTTGCCAGGCGGAGCAGTGCGAGGGCCATTAAAAGTCTTGGTGTGGCGCGTCTCTTCTTCTTTTCGCGCTCTTCTCGCGTTATTATCTTTTATTGTTATTGCAGTGCTAATGATTTGGGCGGCGGGCCCGCGTGAGTGCGGCGAACGAAGTGTGTACATTACCAACATCTGGGGCCATCGGCGGTCAGCGGTGCGGTCGGCGGCTCCACCGCCGGCCGCACCGGCACTCCATTAGGCCCGCCGCAGACCGTTAATGAGATGCAGCAGCGCGCGGTCCCATACTTCATCCCCCGGTGCGCATAATGACCCGCGACGCGCACACTCTCTGATTTATGCATATTTTGGCGTTGCTTCGTTATTAAAATAGCCACTTTAATTTATTGCCCTCGCTGCGGCCGCACATTAATTTTTCTTCCGTCCTCTCCCGTCATACATACCCAAACTCACTGGCATTTTTATTGACTTCAACGCCGCCGGGGCCTCTTTACCCGCTTTTGTTTGCTTTGTTTGTTTATTTGTCGTTCTTGAGTAAATTACGCGCTGACACTTAATCGCTGCTCAAGATGACGTGACGCGCGCGCAACCTTCCTTGATTGGCCTCCCCTGGTGTAAATAAGTGGTGCTGGAATGTAAAACTTCCCCATTCAGTGTGTGCGGCAATAAACTTTTGAATAAAAAAAAATTAATATTTTATGAAGCGCATACTTCTAGATGTCCGTAGATCAGCACAAGCTATGTCATGATACTGACTTTAAAATAAATTCATCTTTTATTGATCATGTTCATTATAAAGTTTCGACTCAAAAACAAGCATTAAGAGGAAGTTATAAGTTATAATATAAAATTCATAAATTTTAGCATAAAAGTTAGTTGGTTTACTGTACAATATAATATATTGGTCTATAAAAGGAGCAAATTAATAATTTTTTATATAGAACAATGGGGGCCCGATGCAACAATGAAATCAATTTTCATTGTTGGAGGGCCAATCAGAAGCGGTACTTTAAAACTGGTACCGCTTCTGATTGGCTAATAAAACATTTCATTGTTGCATCGAGCCCCCATTGATATAGAATACAGAAAAATTACATTTATCATGGAAAGGAGAATAGAGGAATTGGCCCTTTTTTTCCCATATTGCGCCAAGTCTATAGGAGCACATTTGACTCTTAAAAACCACAATGCCTGATTTGATTTTACCAGAGACCCCTCCTTAATCTTCTTTAGGAATCTAAAGAAAACAAATTCGGATTATTGAAATTATTAAAACTAATGCCCATAATCAGTCATTTGCCAGTTTTTACTTAAGATTTTCGTTTTTAATATATAGGCAACTGCAGCAAACACAGATGCTACGCAGGTTGCATCTGAAAAAAAATCGTAATCGGAAGAGAAATTATATGAGCTACAATTTGTTTCAGGTCATATAATATGTAAAAATCAGCAGCTTATATGAATACAAATTGTAGGCTCGCTGAAAAATTATATGGTTCGGCTCACGTTTATAATCCAATTGGAACTCAAATTTTCATTTCAATTCAGAATAGTAATTCAATTAAACTCAAAAGATTTATTTATGGTTTATAACTCCACAAGCTCATTGTTAATTATAATTTTTTAACAACAATTTACAATCAGATCAGCATATAGTTGATAACTGATAAGTATGGATTAAACAAATTACACTTTTAGATATTATTGTTTCCTTTACATAATATATTGCAACACGTTATTCATTCTGCAATTTCTAAGTAGCTTAATATTGTGAAATCGTAATATATTCTTTGGAATTTAATTTAAGATTTGTAAAAATTTGAATTTTATGGGTTTTTAATTAAAACATATTAATAATTAAACAATATGAATTTAATTCATAAAATTAAAAATTTCATAATGTTAGGAACAAGAACATTGTTTTCTTTAAAATCGTTTGTCTAAAAAATATGCATAGCTATTTAACAACTATTGATTAGTAAATAGATGTGGTCCCAGCTATAAAGAAGCAGAGGAATCCATGAGAAGAGGGGAATTACATATTTAAAAAAAAGCCAAATTTCTGTGAGCAGACAAATAACTGACCAGAAGATTTGTCCTTTGAATATGCTTTTGTATGTCGCATCAAGCAACAACTTGGCCTCATACATAAGTCATGCAAAATAAATGGTGGCGCCATTGGATGCTTATATTATTCTTTTGCCTTCGCTGACGCTGCCCATTTCGTCTGCTGGTCGGGAGTGCATATATGCGGAGATGGTTGCGCGCAGATAATAACGCGGGGGTCAACGGGTCACCGCGAATACAACGCTAAACAGCACAGGAGAGTTATTTTCTTATCTCGGCTGTGCAAATAAAATAAAATTCAAACCTGCTACCGGCGCTGAAAATGGCGCTCTCTCGGCAAACCACAGAGGAACCCGTTTTAGAATTTCGCCGTTTCGATGCATCTTGCACGCGCATCTCCGCAAGTCGCAGCACCCCGCGGCGCTCCTGACTGCAATAATTATAATATGAGTCATTGCGGCGTAATGCTCGGCGGTGCTGACTTCTTCACTGCACCTAAAACTCTGCTCCCTGTGTGAGTTATGGTCCTCTGCGCTTCTCAGCACGCCACAACGCACTACAAGACGATCTCCTGGGAAGAAGAAAACATTTTATTTTCAAGCGAAAAATAAATGCCTTTTTTAAAAAAAAAAATAATGACGCGCAGCTTTCTCTTTGCTCAGCATAGTGAGGCGCATCCTTTCATTGTTCAAAATGGGGGAAAAAAATTTAATTTTTTAATTTCTTATTTGAACTGAAGTTTTCCAGCACATCAGATTGTTGGGAGTTTTCTTTCAAATTCAACTTATTAATTAGATTTATAAGTTTTGTCAAGATTTGCTAAACGCAGAGTTTACCAATATTTCTTGTAGCATTTTAGCATATCTGCTAGCTGATATCCTTTCTTCTCCCTTTTTTGCAAGTTAAAAATATATTGTATATTTGGTATATTTGACTGAGAAGAGAAAAATTATAATAATAGGCTTACTTTTTCTCAATTTTGGTATTTACTATTTAAGTTTAATGCATATTTTCCATTAATGAAAAACAAATTTAGTAATATTATTATTTTCCTATGTTCCAAATAATATAAAAATTGCATGGCATAAATTTTCTTAGAGGCTCTGGAAACGGATTTTATTTATTATTATTTTTTTTATAGCCCTGGGTATTAATTAAATAAAAGCAAATAAACAAAGTGAGGTTTACTTATTGTAAATAGATAATTTGAACACTTTACACACATCTCCAATATCATAAATTTAAATTTTGAAATGTAATATAATAATATTTTTAGATTTAAAAGTTGAACGTTAAATCTAAAATAATTTGACATAAAATTTTGGCCATTCCGAATTTTAATCACCTCTAACACATAATTCTTTGTTCTTTTCAATTTCAAAAAAATTTCTGGTTAATTTTGATTTCTGACAAAACGAAGTTAATAGACGTTATACCTTTTACCTTACCTGGGATAGAGACTTTGATGAATATCTTTCAAAAAGGTAAAAATTTTAAATATACAAATTATTGAAAAGTGAATTTTTATTAATATTTTATATCCACTCACTGGAGTCATTTTTCTTTTTCCTCTGTCAGAGGAATGAAAACAAACAGAGGCTCGGCGCGTATCTCTCCACAGTGGTCCGGCTGAAAATTTCTATGAATGGGAGAGTATATGAATAAAAAAGGCACCTCGATCATTAGGCTGGTCCTGATCACAATTAGAGGCGCCGTAAAAAATTCGACTGCTGTGTCAAGGTGTGTGCGTGCGGTGCCCGATGCTGGACGTCACTTATCATCGGCGAAGAATTTCGGGCCCCGCCGAGGACCCCCGCTGCACTCGGAGCGTCCTGCGGGGGTAGGCCGCCCCCCGCGGCTCGTCGTGCAGGGCCCGGCCCGCGAGACCGCAGGTCCATCGCTCACCTGCCCGAATTCCACTTCAAGCTCCTGGAATTCGCGCGACGGTTGACTTTTTCACTTGAAAAATATAATAATAAAAAATAAAAATACACAATTTTGACCAGAAGAAAGGACGAAGGAAAATAAGGAGAGAGAAAGGAAATAAATCGTGCTGGAGGGGCATTGTCTGAGGATAAATATATTATAATAATTTGACAATAATAAAAGAGGAAAGAATGTTGTGCGCGTTGATGAATGGTGCTGGCGGCCCACGCTCGGCAATAAAGTGCTCGAGAGGGCCGGTGTGTGTATTTTATATATCCGTGCTCGCCGCGTAAAATAAAAACGGCTATACGACGACTCTGCTCCGTGCGACGCCGCGAGTGGGGGAAAAACTAACAAAATTAGAATAAAACAGCAATAAACATGGCGTTATGGACGGTGAGAACAAGCTTTTTAAAAAAGGCAGCATCGCTCGTCCCTCTCATACTCTGCCCGCCGAAACAGCGACAAACACACATTTGTTATGAGCGACCGCAGAGTGTGTATTATTTAATTATGGGCATTTCTGCTACTTTTTGCAATTTGATACAAAAATATTTGATTTCTGATTTCAAAATAACAAATAATCTTCCAAAATGAATTCTAAATTAACCTCTACAGTTTACAGTCCCCATATCGAGAAGAAGATGAAAAAAAATTTTATATTTTAAACTCGATCAGAGGAACCATATCGCTGTGGACATACAAAAACTATACCTATATTTTGGATAACATTCTTGGCCTGGAATGCAAACAATGCTGTGGACAAATATTGCCTGTGGAGACTTGTTGACGTTTGATTATCATTATTACGTGTATGTGATAATATTGGGTATCAATTTATAACAAGATTTGAACATGCCGCGAAAAGCAATAAAATTTTTATTACAATCAATCAGAAAGACACGAAGTAGAGTGCATTAATGCATAAAACTTGTCCCGCCGGCATCAATACAAGCGGCAATTACAAACGGATTGATATAATTCTATACTGTCGCTTTGAGGAGAGTTATTATCTTATCTCGTTCAATCATATTGGGAATTAATAGCCTAATTAAAATGAAGAAAGTAATTATTTGTATTGGGTAGTTGTAAAAAGAATTTGGTGCTGAGAACGTGACGACGGAAAAAAAGGTATGATGTTTTTATTGCGTGGTAATTTGTTGACCTTTTGGTATATGAAGCTTATCTAAAAAACACTTCACAAATAAAAGGAATAGTCAATGTTGAATCTTTTCTCAGTTCTATTTGTATAATTATAATATATTATGATTAAAAAAAATACTTTCATTTTTTCCTTAATTGCTTGTTAAATGTTTGCATAAACTTTTAGAATTAGTATAGAGAGCAAGAGGGCTGTCAAAATATATCCACTTGAACACATTTGCAATTCTTGGTTATTTAAAATTTCATGAAATGAGATTTTAATACTTGGAAAAAGTGGTCTACCCGCATAAAAACTTTTAACCCTATTAGTACGGCTAAAGAGAAAACATTAAATTATGGTATCAAAACTTATGATACCAAACTGGAAAAAATAGCTGTTCCAGAACTAAAATAAAAATTACACATAACGCAATAAAAAAACTTTTACATTTAACTTGCAACAACAATAAAAATAGACACAAACATTAAATAATACTCCTTACAACACCAAAAATATCCAAATCGGAATGGGCACGGGCCGACAAGACTTTGTCTTGGCATGACCAAAAAATAACAAAATATTATGTACTATATTTTAATCCATGTGACCGAGTTTAAATTCTGCCGATTTGATGCAGGAAATAGATTCTAAGGCAGGGCAGCTCAAGATTTTCAGCCATGTGGGCTGATTTATTCACTTCTAGTGGATTTTTTGTCCCAGACTAAGAATCTCCGGGTGGCTGTTGTGTGGAACTCAGTGCTGCGCGACCAGTCCACGCCCTGGGCCGCACGGCCCGGGCGCATTTTCAGGTTGTGCGAATAAATAAATAAGAAATTGTTGTTTCTTCCAGCGGCGGACAATGCTTGGCGCGAATGAGCAAAAGGGTCCATTCGATTCACGATCATTCTTTTTCGCTCTCGGCGCGTCTATTTGTTTAAACTTTGACACGCGAGCAGCGAGCGGTCCGATGGCCCAGCGGGGCCCGCGCGCTGAGCCCGATATTATATTTCATTATGCGCGAGCAGATGTCATCGTGCCGCGCAGCGTGATCAATTCCTCTCACCGATACATCATCATTGTTTCTATCGCTGGGAAAACGAAAAAGGCCACAACCTTCGCCCCGTGCTGCGGTCTCCGCTCCTCAATAACTGCACCTCTGGACACTTTTCGAAATTGCTGTGACAACCATCGTTCAAAAAATTTGAAATTGTTAAAATTTTAAACTAGAGTAAAAACATACACTATTATTTTGCTTTTATTTTACAAAGTTTTCTTTCTCTGCAAAAAATTCATTATTTTTAAATTTTGTTAATTTGTTAGAATTTATATTTATTTTAATTTTACAAATAAGTAGTAAAATGTGAAATGTATAAGTGTTTGTTTATATTCTAACTTGTTACTTAAACACTTATTAATATATTTTTTTCCACCAAAATTATATAATTATATAAATAGCAGATCTGATAGAGATATGAAGGTATCAAAACATAATTCAATTGAAATATATGAGTTCTTAGAATGCTCCATTTGGTGGGATAATCATAGAGGCTGTTGAATTCAGACGAAATACGAAAGAAGTGCCAGTTAAATGAACATTTTGTACCAGTATCTATTATTATCATAAAATTATTTGTAAAATACAATTTAAAAAATCAAACTTAATACAAAATCTAAAAAAATCTACAATGTTCCTTATTTTGAATATATTTCTAGTGAACCTATAGTATATTCAAATAAGAAAGTAAGATGGCATATGCATCCTGCAGTTTTTTTATTTTATTTAGTTTATCATTCTTAAAATCGCCTGCTCTAATTATTTGATACTTTTAAGTTTCAAAAAATGTATTTAGAAATTGACAATATTATTTTAAAGAAAATGCTTGGCCGTTTAAATTTTTAATTAATGAAGGAAAAAGTGTGCAGATTTATTTTTGTTAAATGCACCAATAGATGAACGGCAAACTTTTGCTTATGACAATTTTATTCTTTATTCAAGAGAATGTTCATCGATCCTAGATAATGAGCAATTTGAGCAAAGTTTAAAGCGACGTGCACAGGACGAGTTCTATTAATAAAGCAGGTGCGATAGAAATCTCACTGCACAAGTCATCAGCTGACATATTTCACTTGACGTTTTGTAAATATAGAGATATGCTTTCTGGTCTTATTTATCTAAATTTTATGCAGAGCGAGCTGACGATAATGTTGTTTTCTCAGATGGAGCAACTGCCGTGACTTTTCATGTTCGCGACTGCAGCTTGCATAATTTTATTCTTCAAGGAAACTCGCGGGACACATGTGCATAATCCCTCACAGAGAGAGGTCAAATTCAACGCCAGCACTGCAGTCACTGCACCATCTGCTTTTTAAATTTTTCTCCCAATAAATAAATTTCCCTCGCCTGATTTAATTTTTAATAAATTTCGTTCAACACCAGCAAAGACTTATAAACAGTACTTGGAAAGCAAAATTGCGGCAGAGGTCCGTTTCCAGGAATGCGAGGCAGCATCACAATGGCGGGCGAGTGAATGCACAGCAGCAGCGGCAAATAAAATTAAATTCAAACATGCGCGCTTGTGTTTTATATCTCAGCACTCTGAAATATTTATACAGAGACTGCTGGTGAGGCTTCTTTCGCGGAACGAAAAGAGCAGCATTAATTTTCTTTTCCTCTTCAGAACTGCATCAAAATGAATTCCGTGGATCGCTGGCCAATCGTGATTGAGTGAGAGGCTATGTAAATTCGTTCAGCACATCAAAATTCCTTAAGGAATTTTTTAGTCAGAAAAATGCTTTTGTGCCTGAGTGTCGGCAATTTGCACTGGGACAAAAAGTAAAACTCTTTTCCTTTTTCTACCCTTTGAAGTTGAAATGAAAGAAAAAGTAGCGCTTTACTTTGAAAATTTGGGTGGTCGTTCAGTTCATTTGTTATAGACTTGTTAGGCACCTTAACCAAATGTCATATTTCTGCGTTACTTTGCCAGCACATAAACGGGACCCGCACTGCCTGTAGAAATTCCTCTGCAGGGGACAAAAAAAATTGATAAAAGGACGCAGCTGCCAAATCTAGTTGAAGACATAATTGAAGTATTCATACAAACCTAATTTGAATTTAATTACCATTTGATTTTTTACATATTAAGGGGCCATTTAAGAAAATGCAAATTTTATTTCCTCTTGAAGATGAACGCTAAAAATAAAATAATGCCAAGTGACAAACAGTCGATCACGAGCTGGATTGAGCGGCCGGGTTATGCAACGTGCGCAGCATGCACGTAATGCAGGCTGCAAAATTCTTTGTGTGTGACGGTGTGAAGCCCACGCCGTTACGCTCGTGCATCAAACATAACAAAATCATTTTCCTAGATGGTCAGTGTTCCTTTTTTTACGGCCAAGTAGTAAAATACGAAATCCGCCTAAATCAATAAAAAAATGCTGTCTCGTAAATTCTTCAAGGAATTTTACGGCTTTCCACCTGTGTTGGACGGTGAAAAAAATAAATAAAAATCAGTTTATAGAATTGTCGCTTTATTTTGGAGACAAATATAGCATCTGACGAAGCTCAAGATTTTCGGTTGGTATTCATTGTTGTGTCAAATGGCTTGTTAGCAATGTGGGTGGCTTGGTAGGGACACTGACCTGCGTTCACTTTATTTCCCAAACCAGCAGCAGGGGGGATGCACGTTCATTTATCCTGAAGCTAGGGTGTGAATCAGGACCCTCTTGAAGCTGGCTGTTCTAGAATGCAGCAATTTCAATCAACATGATTGTGAGATTTCGTTGACTTCAGTTATTTTCACCACATTGAAATCCAGCTTGAATTAACTGTAAAATAAATTTTAATTATTTTTTACGCTATTTAAATAACCATTAACTTTTAAGTTTACAAAATAAATGTAAAGAAATTAAATTAAATAAATTTCAGTAGGGCGCTGAAGATTAGAATATTTAAATTTACTATAATTTCAAAAAGTAGAGTGCATGCGTTAATTAAACATTATGAAGAATTATATATTGAGGCTGAATTCTAGTCTAGAACAGTTGTTTAAGAGGGTCTCCGCGCAAGGCTATAAAGTGAAATTTCTTTAGGCGAACAAAGTGGAAAACAACCTGTGAAATAGGGGGCGTCACGCGGCGGTTCTCGCTTCGGTGGTGGTTCCTTTTCTTCCTTTTCACGCTCTGACAAAAGTCACAACTCCATCCATGGAAAGCCACCCCGGTAACAAAAGTTGAGAAACATCCCTCACGGACAATGCGAAGCTGCGTGTTGGGAAAAGGGACAATAGGGATGGACACACCACGTGTGTTTGAGTTTCCACTTCACGCTGCTTTTCCCCGAAAGAATGGAAGTAATAAAGGAACGATTTATGGAGAGTTACAAGTTTATAAATAACGCCATCTCTTTTGTTGAGGTCATATGCCTTGAGGCCAGAACCCAAATTACAAACAGATTGGAACCGTTTGTTGCCCAACAATACAAAGAGTAAGAGTTAAAATACAAACTTGACTAGGCTTAGTAAATACCCCAATAAATAAGCTTTAAAAATTAAACTAATTGCTTCAAAAATCATCAAATGTGATCAAATGTAATGTAATAGTTGAAAAAATTAATCCGGGAATTTGTGTGATCTTAAAAAAATCATTGGCACAAAATATTAAAAATGCACAATTAACTAATATTTTGATTGTTTAATTTATGAGATTTTTCGGCCTTATTGGCGTTATTAGATGCAGCAATTTATAAAACAATTTTAAATTATTTTAATATTTTTCATTTATCAGCATCTTAATTAAATATTACATGATCTTTATATTCCTTGTAAAATTCAAATTTTTATTTTAGCCATACCATAATTATAAGAAAATATTTTTATTTATCAAAATTGTTGATATCGTTGGGCTTAATATTAAGACGAGAGATGAAGAAGCCTTGTTATTGTACATTAACCGCTTAAGGACTTCTTATTGATATAGTCAAATCAAGTCCTTACAACAATATAATAAGATTTTTGCGATTGTTTGAAATTTTAATCACCATTGTTGTAAAGACTGGATTTGACTATGTCAATAAGGAGTCCTTAAACCATGTAACACCAAAAATATGTTCTTGCATTGTTGGAATAAAAAAAAAATTGGTACTTAAAACAGGGACCGATCACTAATATTTGACCCCTAATTGTTACGAACTTTTGTGTTGCCGCGATCATCACAGTTTTTACATATGTTATTGGGGTCAATGAAAGGAGTCTCTGACTAAATTTTGAAATAAAAATTTTGAGTACTTTTTGAAATATCCGGGAATTTTGAAAAACCCAAAATTGCGTTTATCTTTGCTCCTATTGAGTTTAGAGCAATGCGGTTTTCACCATAGTAAGTAACTTTTTATTCTGAACAACTTTTCTGTAGGCCAAAACGTTCTAGGTCAAAGGTCAAGGTCACTAAAATGCATTTTAATTTTTTAAAGCTATTTTTCTCAAAGAAGCATACCTTGGATTTTTTCCGTGGTATAGGAAAAAATGTAGCCCATCAAATTTTGCATCTGGTCAGTAAAAATATCGATGGCCTTATTTTTAGTTTTTAAGATATTTTAACTATAAATTAAAAAGACGCGTTCTCGGCAAAACACGTTATTTTGAATTGTGACAGTTTTGATATAAATAATGAGATTAGAACAATGCGGTTTTCACTATCCACCTTAATTTTTTATTTTGAACAACTTTTCAATTGACCAAAATGACCTAGGTCAAAGGTCAAGGTAACTAAAATGCATTTTTAGTTTTCAAGGCCATTTTTCTCAAAGAAGCATACCTCGGATTTTTTTCGTGGTATAGGAAAAAATGTAGCCCATCAAATTCTACATCTGGCCTGTGAAATTCAGAATGGCGTTATTTTTAGTTTTAAAGATATGTACATATGAATTAAAAAAGTGCGCTCTCGACCGTATATTTTCATTGAAAAACATGCTTTTTTAAATACTTATTTAAATAACTTTAAAACTAAAAATAACGCCATTCTGAATTTCACAGGCCAGATGTAGAATTTGATGGGCTACATTTTTTCCTATACCACAAAAAAAATCCGAGGTATGCTTCTTTGAGAAAAATGGCCTTGAAAACTAAAAATGCATTTTAGTGACCTTGACCTTTGACCTAGGTCATTTTGGTCAATTGAAAAGTTGTTCAGAATAAAAAAATTAAGGTGGATAGTGAAAACCGCATTGTTCTAATCTCATTATTTATATCAAAACTGTCACAATTCAAAATAACGTGTTTTGCCGAGAACGCGTCTTTTTAATTTATAGTTAAAATATCTTAAAAACTAAAAATAAGGCCATCGATATTTTTACTGACCAGATGCAAAATTTGATGGGCTACATTTTTTCCTATACCACGGAAAAAATCCAAGGTATGCTTCTTTGAGAAAAATAGCTTTAAAAAATTAAAATGCATTTTAGTGACCTTGACCTTTGACCTAGAACGTTTTGGCCTACAGAAAAGTTGTTTAGAATAAAAAGTTACTTACTATGGTGAAAACCGCATTGCTCTAAACTCAATAGGAGCAAAGATAAACGCAATTTTGGGTTTTTCAAAATTCCCGGATATTTCAAAAAGTACTCAAAATTTTTATTTCAAAATTTAGTCAGAGACTCCTTTCATTGACCCCAATAACATATGTAAAAACTGTGATGATCGCGGCAACACAAAAGTTCGTAACAATTAGGGGTCAAATATTCGTGATCGGTCCCAACAGTGTTTTAAGAATTTTGAATATATTTTGTATAATAAATTCTTGACGTGTGTTTAAGTTTATTACATAATAGTTATGTACATCTGACGCGTCCCTTATGTGCTTTCCATTCATATCAGTTACAATTACAATGAATGTAGATTTATTAATTCCAAATGCAAATCACCGGGCTGGGCCGTTTTGACAGCGAAATCAAACAAATCAATCCGGGCGGCCCAACAGGCGGTCGCCGGAATTTACGGCGCGGCGCACAGATCGCATTTCCAGCCGAGAGAGGAGCGCGATGGCCCACACAGGCGGCGAATTTATGGCCCGAACGAGAGACTCGGGCAATAATATTTACCATAAATTACGTTATTAATTACCGAACGCTAAATGTGTCTTGTCGGCTGTAAATATCATCGACAGAGCGCGCGGCCCATTTGTTCACTTCAGCTGCCTGCTCTCGATTAATGCGCCCGACAAGTCTAATTGACTCTCGCGGTGCCCATTTGACTATCAGCAAATCTCACTTTCAGAGTTCGGAGCGGAGAAGCGAATTGCGAAAAAATAATGCAGCGCAGGGCGAGCGCGAGATTGGCCGCGGAGATAAGAATTGGCGCCGCCGGCACTCTTGAATACAAATTAATGAGCCGCTAATCTCATTCCGGGTCAAATTCGCACCTGAGGCTGCACTTTGCCCGCTGACAATTAGCATGGATACTTACGTCTTCTTTTTCTTTTTTTTTACTTATATATTGCCAAGTCCAAGAGAGGTGTGAGTGCAGCTGTTCTCTATGTTTTTATGCTTCACTCCGGCATTGTCTTAAAGCGAGTTTCGCGCGAAACAAGATTTTATTTTTCTCGCGTTTTTTTTATTATTCATAAATAAAGCTCGTTGTCTCCCATTGATGCGGTTGTAAAGCGGAGAGACACAACATATATACGTACACGCAGCAGAGCTAAAAATTAGCATCACTAACGCGACGTAAAATAGAGAGTTACTGCCAGGTGATATGGCCCATAAATTAGACGCCACGGCCCGCGACGTGAAACAATTTTTGAATTTTTTTATTTCGCCCCTCGCGATGTGGATTTTCATTCATTTAATTTGTAAATTCTACAAAAGGATTGACATCCTCGACTAAAAATATAGTTTAATATTATTCTGGATTGAATATATAGAATAAAAATTAAAATAAAATAAACCAATTATTTTTTTTTGTAAAATCTGAAATCCAAAATAATTTGGAATTTACGTCCTTATAATAATTTCAGTTCGATGGAAACATCAAGTCATTTGCAGAAGAATAAGAACAGACAAGATTGTTTTGGAGTAAACTGGTAGGAGAAACTTTCAATTAGGAACACAAGAAAAAAATTAAGAACAGACATGACGACATTATTTTGGTGACTCTCATTTCAAGCACGTCCTGCTGAATTCAAATCAGGGCGCGGTCTGAAATGTCTGAATGATTCAAATACGATGTGGGAGTTTCAAGCCCACTCATCAATCCTGCCGAATCTCCACTTCAAGAAACTGCTGAATAATTTAATTTTGCTTTTGAAACAAATAAACAACTTTTTTGCCTATATCTTCTTTAAAAAAAGAGTGAAAAAGAGAAGAAAAAGTATAAAAAACTTGAAATTGAAACTGCAGTTGCAAGAGTAACCGAATGAAAATAATGAATATAAACTTAATTCAGCTCTTAAGTGTGCTATATTAGTGTGCATGCAAAACAAATAGTGCATTACATAAAATTTTTTTATAGTAGGCACAATAAGTGATTTATTATTAACTGTGATGTCTGTGATATGTGATAAACAAAATTTATAGTTTGATTTTAAAACTCCCTTTATGGGTAATGATTGTAACATATTATAACATATCATGTCCTTTAATTTCAACAAAATATATAAATACTATAAAAAAGAGCTTTTTCCAGTAAAAATTGTACTAATGTTAAATATCTTGACTCCTTAAATATGAATTTTAATGCTATCCTATAAATGTAAAGTAAATTGATAAATAAATTAATAAGTAAAATTGATGGCACATTTAATAATAAGGATGAGAAATCTCAAGATGCAATTAATCTTTTGTACTTTAAAAATTATATTATTTAGTGTTTTGCTACCAACGTTCTTTCTTATTTTATTTGGCAGAATGAAAGAAAAATAAGAACCGAATATTCAAAAGATGTGTCAGTTTTTTGTTTTGTTTTCCTGTTTCGAAGGCGCGCGCATTATTAATGAATGAGACAAAGGAGTGACACCAGCGAATAGGGACGTATAAAACAGACAAAAAAATATATGCGTCGGTCCGTCTCATTCCGTAGTCATTCTCCGCTCTCCGGCGGCGATAAAAAAGGGTGGGCGGAATATGGAGTCGCTAAGTCGGTGCCGATCACACACAGATTAGAACATAACTCGCCTCTCGCTACATTATGTCGTCCCGCGCGCTGCACCGCAAGACGAACCCACCCGTGCGCGTCACATTTATTCACGATCCGAAGAGATTGTGCCGCAGCCGCCGCCGCTTTTCTCAATGAAATTTTCACACCTCGAATTCTACATCATTGTGTCTCACGTGGGAGAGTCGACCAAAAATATACATATAATAATGTGCGACTTTTTATGTCAAGCTTTGTCCCTAGTCTCAATAATTTTGAAATCTCACTGCTGCAAATAGGGATGCATGAAAATTTATTGAAAGGAATAAACAGTTTAGAAATAAATTTGGCAAAAGAAAAACGATATTTCCAATATAATAAACTCGAGCAGTAAAAAACTGCGATTTTGTTACATTAGGAAAATCTTTAAGAGGCGATTCCTCTTTGTCATTTTTGTTGTTGGCTTTAAACTTGTTTCAAACCATATCAAACTAACAATTTTTAAAAGTCAAATAGGCAAATTCATAATACTAAAAAATTTAACAATTTTTCAGGATATACAAGAGATGAAAACACTTTTTTTTCTGCGGATTGTTAGAAGGATCGTGATTTAGGAAAATCTTCAGCATTTATTTCGAGAAAAAAATTATTAATTGTATTAAAATCTGAGCATCAATTTTTGAAAAATTCTGTCCCATACGTTTTAAGCAATATGGAGTACTTGTTTTTTTTTAGAAGAATGAAGGGGACGCAGAAAAACGTTATTGTTTTGATTACCTTATTATTAATATATTAATATTATTTAATAATAAAAATTTATAATTCTTGGTAACTATTGGTGACGAGAAAGTATTTGAAATTTATAAATATTCGTTTGCGACTTAAATAAACTGGAATAAAATTTTTATTTACTCCAACGATCCGTGTGTATAAACTTGGTTGTTTTATGTCTGCTGATTCGTAGCTTTCGTGAGCAATAAATTATTTTGGGTATCCAGAGAGCGGGCCACGAAAGCGCCTCTTTGTACATTCAAATTTAATAAGATAGAAATTGCCGTGTGCGACTCTTTTTCTTTTCCCGAGGAGCAGCTTTTTGTCTTTTAATTCCTCCGAAATGAGAATAAAAAAGGGACGACTATACGAGCAACGACGACGACGACGGTTTAGCAGGAGGCAGAGCGAGCGACCGCGAAGGCTTATTTCCAGTTTTTCTACAGCACGCTGCTTATACGCGCGGCGCGCACAGGGTTGGATTTATTGCAGGTAAAACACCGCGGCTGAGAAAAGAGCGAGACGCGACGAGCCTGCTGGCGCCGAGGGACCGCGGGAAGATGCGTCTTTCGTTTGCTTGCCGTCACAATGACCTGTCTGCACAGCCTCTCCAAAATAAAAATAAAACAAACGACTCTTGCAGAAGCCCAATCAAAGAGCCTTTAATAAAATAAAAATGGGAAACTGCGAATGTTAAGTTTATTTCTCTTTACACTATACTGGGATTCTCGAAGTATTTTTTTTTTTTCTTAAATTATTTGATATTTCTACATAGCACAATGCTTTGTAGTAATTGTAGTATATTTTAGTGTGTTTTGTCAAGACATTTAATTATCTAATTGCAGAGTTAAACTTGTTGGCTGCAGAGATGTCTTGAGGAATATATGGAGCTGACTGGAGCGGAGTTAATCCGATCACGGCGGGAATTTTTCCTCAGCACATTGTCTTGGCGAGCAGCTCATTGTTCGATTTTATGTTCCGTGTCTTCGGCCGGCGATAATTTCGAGCATAAATTTTGTGCGTGGCGCATTTCGGCCCGTGTGAAGTCGGCCAAGATGTATGGCCATCATTACCCGGTGCTGTGTTCCCAAAACGGGTTCTCTCCTCTCGCTTGGTGTGCCTAGCTGCGGTGTCACCCGAAAGGCGCACACATTCGTCGTCGTCGTGACTTGAGGCTGCGGATTTTATTTCCCACCAATTACCTCGCATAATTATTTAAGACGAGCTGTCAACAAGGTGTCCCTAATATGAAACGACCCATCAGCAGCATCACTCGCCCACCTCTGAATAAATTTCACACACGGCAGAATAAATAAAAAATAGCTCTATAGAGGAGATTTGGCAAATTGCAGGCGTTGAGAAATAAAAAATGGTTTCCTTTTTCCCGTTGTGTTTATAAAAGATTTTTTACTTAGTGTGTTCTTTTTGCCTGAATAGACATTGTGTAAATATGTATTCTGAGATCCAGTAAATAAAGAAAGTTTTAATTATAAAAACTTTTTGTTCTAAAAAGCTAAAAAATAAATTTGGGAAATTTCAGAGGTGTTAAATTGTTATAAAAAAAATGTCATCCTAAATTGATATTAAATAATTCATTTAAAAAAATCAAAATATTATTGAAGGAGAAAACTGAAAAGAAATATTTTTTATAAAATAATATTATCTGTTATTAAGTGTACTTGTACACCTTTCATATATTATTTCTTTAAAATAATTTGATTTATTTAAATTCAATTCGATTAATTTATTTGTTTCTCCAAACAAGCCAGAACAATCAATCGTGGAAAAAAAGATATTGTCAGTTATTCATTTATCATTTACACTTTTTTAAATCATTCTGCAGCACTGGAATCAGATATTTATGCAAAAGAGGACAGGAAAAGATGACTCACAACTCATGAAATGTCGAGGGCGCTTATTTAGCTTTTTTGTTAATCAAGGAGTGCTCTCAGGAGCCGCGCCGTAAATTACCAGGCCAAATATGTGCGCGCGAGCATTAATGTCGTTGACGTGGTCGAAACTGCCGCATAATTTGTAGTCAAGAGTTATAATTCGAAAGAGTCGCCTGCGTTCTTCCTGCGCGACTTGAGACGCAATGCAATATAATAAAGCGAAAAGCAGCTTCGCGGGGAGTCTGGCTCGCCGCTAATAAAGATATGCAAAGTCTGCCAGATTAGGATTTAAATTAATTCGTATACGCCTGAGAATGTGCCAAGGTCTCTCAGTTTTAGTGGCAACTGAATTATATGACTTAGAGGATGCAATTTGTATATTTCCTGTTGATTTTATTACCTTTTGTGTCGTGAACGAAATATTTCTTAAAAAGCTATAAAAAAAATTTTATTCCCGCTTTTTATTTAACAATTAGTTCTCTGACAACATTAAATTGAATTTTAATAAGATTTTAATCTATTGTGACAAATTTTAATATTTTTAAAATGTAAGAAGAAGACTGCGGAAAACAAATGAATTAATGTTTGGTTCCCTATACAATTATTCTTTTGCAGAAATTCGATAATTCTCTCAAGTTAAAGGACAAAAAAAACTAAATAATTAAATGATAATTGGCAACAATACAGTACTATAAAAAAAATATAGAACAACCAGATCCATTTACATATGAGTGTAAAATTTTCTCCAAAATCAAATCAATATATCATCAAACTGTAGCCAAAAAGCATATTGCATTATTAAAGTTATATAAATTTTTCAAAGGAAACCGAGAGTTCACCGCAGACACATGCGTGAAATTTTTCTAGGTCAGGCAGGCGCCAGTTTGATGAAATATACTGCCTTTAAAAAGGAAAATCAGTCTATTTTTATTTTTAGATGCCGCCATAAAATGCATTAGCCCCTCTGCGCACCCTGATTTTATTGCACAAAAAGCAGCCGAGCCGTGGCGCCGCATAAGCAATGCACTTCTTGCTCAACACAAATTTATTGCCCTTGAAAGTGCACAAAGAGAAGCCGCGCGATTCTCACCGCCGGCAAAAATTATTAAATTGAATTCAACTGTATGCTCGGCGGCAAACAACAAAACGAATGTAGCTGCGCTGGAACCGATCGAGCGGAAAATTATAGATTGCTTAATGACTCAATAATATTGAGGAGGAATGTTGAAAAGTCGTCTTTACGTCCCTCGATGACACGGCGGTAAATCATTTTGATGAAAAGAAATGAACTGCAAGAAATGCAGTTAACATATAATATATAAAATGCGTTGGAGTAGGGTTGAGTTTCTTTTCTACATTTCTCACCTACATATCGCTCTGGATATAAAGGTATATATCAAATGAATATTAATGAATCGCACGGCGAGAGCAGAAGAACACGGTGAATCGATGTCGAACACGGACACACGTGATGCTTTATGATGTCTTTGTTTCGTATGCAAAAACATAAATAATTGATTGCAGATGCATGTCTGCTTCATGCTCCGTTCGTTTTATTGTGCAGAGTTTTATAACTCGGCTCATAACCGCGCGCCGTACAACCGTGGCGTATAATACTATGTAAAAGGGGTATAATACGCTCAGGCTACATCAATAAAAAGCATATTTCCATAAAATAAAATGTATAAGCTGCGGCCGAGTTGGTGCACGAACACACAGCAGAGATAAACACGTCCAACCATCAGCCGGCAGTGACACCTCTCTAAGCTACTGCAAGTGACCTGCTCAGCACCTGACTCAACAATGCAACATGCATCAGGGAAGTTGAGCTGCTTCTCAAGTCTCAATTATAAAAGTTGAGCATTGCAGATAATGAAATCAATTTTTTTTTATTTATCTCCATTAGCAATGTACTTTTCATTCAAAAATGCAAGTTAATTGAAAGTGTATACGCATCATTATTTGAAAAATTTTTTAAGAAAAAATGACAAAAATTCAATTATTCTGATTAAATTGGCCATATTATCATATCATAAAAGTTTAGATAAGGGTTGGTTCTGTTTGTACTTAATTGAATTGTTATTACAACACACAAATTAGCTTTTTTGGCGATAGTTACATTTTATAATTTATTTTCCAATTTAGAACAAATTTTTATGGAAATTTTCGTACATTATTTTCTATCAACTTTTTTATTTTAAATGGCCTTCCTATTAATTTATTAAATTTTATGATGATAATCTGATCAGATTTATGTATTTTATTAAAACAATAGACTGCCTCTCAAAAGTTAAATTAATTCAACAATTAAGCGAAAGATAAACTTTAATAAACAAACGCCGCTTCAAAGGGTTTGAACCCAACCGAGGAGGTCATTGGTGGTGTCGAGCAGGTCCCTGTCTTCGTCCAACTGCTCGACCCTGGCGTTGACGCGCCCTTCCCAGGCCTTGAGCACCGAAATTCGTTCTTGGAGCACCAGCCGCTCGACGCCGTACTGCGCCAACCAGTTGGCCATTTCAAGCTTCTCCTGCTCCTCCACTTCCTTCAGGCTCTTCTGCAAGGCGGCCAGTTTGGTCTCAGCGGCTGTGACGGCTGCGCGAATTTCCTGCAACTCCTCGTCCTCCTCGGCGAACACCGTCTTTCTCAGGGTTGACTCACGACGGTTCCTGAATAAAATGGATTTAATTTCAGGTAAAAGGGTTTATCATTATACAGAGAGCAGACCTGAAGAAGTCGAGGGTGGCGTCGTGGTCCAGTTTGAGCAGCTCGAAGATTTGTTCCGCAGGCTTGTGTGCCCTGATAACGTCCGACTGCATCCAGAGACGGCCAAACAGAGATTCAAAGATGGCGTCAGCCATCGGACAGGGTGCGCGCGTGTTGGCCCCATTGTTCTTCAGGGACAGGGCCACGTCCTGACGCAGCTGCTCCGCCGATTTGCGAGGACTCTTGTCGTCCAGGTCACCCATGATTATGATTTTTCAGCAACAACAGTGAACCATGCAACAATCAATTTTTAATGTTTCATAACTTCAATTGTTGTTACATGCTTGAATTTAAATATTTTTATTTTAATTGTTGTAAAAGTTACAGGTATATAATTTTTTTTCGCAATGATTCAAATTACGAAATGTTCCCAAATATAGTTATGTTCCTTCTCAAAATTTGCAAAATAATAGCTTACTTACTTAGATCAAAGTTCACACATTACAATAATATAATGGTTGCAAACTTGTATTGGATGGTAATAATATTGGTAATTTTATTCACAAAATTGTATACCCAATCAAAGGGTACTCATGAAAATAGGTGGTATACAAATGTAAATGGGAACTTTAAACATTATTTTTGTTATATATTTATATTGATTTATTTATTTTAGATAGCAATCCTTTCAATAATAAAATTCAAAGCATCGCAGTAAAAAATAAAATATTGCACACCGTGTATTTTTATTATTTTATGTTTAAAAGTTCATTCAATGTTATTTTAGTATCCAATATCCAGAGCAAACTTTTTTGAAGATTTCTTTTGGGTCATAGTTCATACTTAAATGAAAATAATACATATTGTTCGTATGAACAATATTAAGAAAAGCATCAGATTGTAAAATAATAAATTACAAATTGAGAAATGCAGTGTTTAATGTTTGATCCAAAACTTTAAGTACTCTAGGAGGATTTTCTGATGTCAGACGAAGAACGACAAAGGGATAACATTTTAAACCAGTATCATTGCTGGTGTGCTGTATGTTTGTTGTTTGGGGCTTGCCAGAAATTTGATTAAGCAATAAATTAGGTGGCGCGCGGAGTAAAAGCCACCTACCTCTGCGTGCGCGCGCGAGTGTTTTGCGCCATCCACTTTATTATACGCGGGTGTGTGTGTGGAGTGCATTATGCAAAATCCCCAGCACTCGGCGCGGCTCCGTTGGCTCTCTGAAAACTGCTCTTTACCCGCGCCTGCCTGCCCGAGTGCGGTGGTGCCTCTCACTCGCTCTTTTGATAAACTTTGCCGCTGTTCTGCTTCATTATACGCTTCGCCCCTTCATTACGACGGCAGCACCACGCGCACGCCTTTACTTGCAAAACAAAACGAATAAACATCACACACGAGTGCGCGTTTCCAACTTCACATGGTTTTGATACACTCATAGTGCCGTTTTAGCTGATTAATTTTAAGGCATACAGTCATGAAAATGAGTTTTCTTGATTAAAAATTTTTATTATTAAATTATGAATATAAATTTTGAATTATAAAAATGATGAATAAATTAAATGATGTATTCCAATGTTATGAATAATATTTCTAACGTCCTATTAATATCGCACAGAAATTGAAAATGATCATTTTGAATTATAATTTTTTTTTATAATATGAAATGAATTTAATTATAACTTTTATAAAATTTTAGTTATTTATTGAATTATTAAAAAACAAACAATATTGTTTATTATTATTACTGGAAAAATTAGCAATTTTATTACAATTATCCTTTAATTTTTGATAAACAGAGGAAAATTTTAAAATACTTGCGATAATTTAATAAAATTTTAATAACAAATTCAATAAAATTTTCTTATCTGAACTAGCGATATTGGCACAGCTTGCAAATATCGTTATTATGTGATACAAGTCATTAGGTTGGGTGCTGCAGCCGAAATTCCAGCACTTGGCTCTCGTCAAGGGGTTGTTTGCAACTCGCATGGCGGCGGTGGCTGCTGAGGACGTATATACGAGAGGGCGAGCGTAATAAACATATTCGTTGCAACGTGCGCAATTAGACGCGGGGTCTCGCGCGCACATTAATATAAATAACGTCCTCTGGGGAATGAAAACGAGCAGGCGAGAGAGCAGAGAGAAAGACAAACCGCAGCGCAACTGCGGATAATAAACTTGATGCAAACTTACAAAAACATCTGCTTTCCTGTGCGCTCTCGCAAAATATTACCGCATAGTACGAGCACGCCGACCCGAATGTTGTACAATTTTGCACCGTCAACGTTTAAATTAGCTCGGCCGGTATGTGCAACACACTTATCACGGGCCGTCTGAGTTCAAAATGCAAATTGAACGACAAAAGTACTTTGAAAAAATTTTATGAAACAGAATTTTTTTAATAAGATAAAAAAGTGAGAACTGTAAAAAGAAACTGCATAATTTTATATTTATTTCTTATTCCCTATTCCAGGTGGCCCTGCATTGATTGATAAAAATTCACCTCACGTTCAGACACTCTAAGGTGTCTGTCCGGATGGAGGGTTGCAGCATCGTCGTTGGCACGTGGCCTCCTCTTCCTGACGCGTGACCCAATGATTTATCAACGGCTTCTCAACCAAATATTAATTAACTCTAGTTTTCCTTCAGATTAAATAGTCATAAGTACTAAATCAAATTATTTCCCGTTCCGAGTGGTTTCTTTGGGTTTTAAATTTCTTAAAAATATCTGTTGTAAAGAATGATATTGAATTTATTTAATTTTTTATTTATGACAGCTTGTTAATTTGGAAGAAAATTTAATTTCAGTGCTGTATGCAACTATATTATTTAAAATTTAAAATACCATAATTTTTAACAACACACGCTTTGCTTTTCCTTCACATTCCATGCCTTATTGTAGTTGAAAATGCGACATAAAGCACCCATTTGCAAAACTTAAGTCGTATATGTCGAGCAAAAAGTAGACCTGTGTGCAGATTAAGCCCAGGCAAATGCATGTATACTCTTGGGCACAAATGTGCCGAGAACGACGACACGAGTGGAACAACAAAGTAACGCGAGGCAGTAAAACCTGATGCACCCCATAGCAAGCAAACTTTTGCTAAATAAGCTCTTAACAGCTGTTTATATATACCGTGGCTAAAAAAACTCTTCTCCGCGTTTTAATTAATGAGTCTGAGCATCAGTGAAACTTTTTGTAATAAAAGCTCATGCGGTGTGATGGATGCTTTTAATAAAATCATAATGTGGCCATCCCAGATATGCAACAGAAGGGATGGTGCGGTCATAAAGTCGTCTAGTTTGACGCACTTCTAGCTGATTGAATGCAAATTAATTTTGAAGCACACAGAGAGGGAGCCAAAGTGCATTAGAGATATATATTATGGCAGCTCTTAATGGAAAAATTTCCCCCCGAGATTTTCACACCCCTCTTATCGCAGATTCCACCCCTCTACGCGGCGATATGTGAAAACTACACCCCTGGCAGACGCATATAGTGTGCCAAATTTGCATTTGTAAATTCGTGTGCAAACCAAAATAAATATAATATATATTACACCATTCGAAGTTTGCTACTACGCAGTTTCTCAGTTAATTAAAACTTACAAAATAAAAATTGGAGAGATTTGAAGGTTCAATAAGCACCAGTCCGTAGTGTTCCAAATAAATTATTATAGTTTGCAAGATTTCTCGGCAATAAAAATACAGAAGCAAACTGGTAATGGAAATGGAAGCATGAATAATCAATTTGTATTTGATATTTTTTATTTCACATTATATTATTCAAATTTTTCAAAAATTGCTGCTGCATATGCAAAAAAATAATATTTATAATACCATCTATCATCTCTAAATTAACTAATTTAACTGTCAAAAAATTTAATTGTAAGCATTTGGTGTATTTGAAATTTCTAAATGGACCAAATTAAATAAATATGAATTATTAAATCATTACAATTTTTATTAAATCACTGGTATACGCTGCTAATGGCTAATGGTATTTTAAATTATTTTTCATAGATGCAAAATAAAAAAATTCAAATAAATTTATTTTCATTATCTACAATTAAATTGTTAAATTCAGTTTTTATGCGTTTAAGCTTTTTGTTTTAGTATATTTTAACTTTAATTAATATATTTTAAAGAACAAACAATTTTATAATTGTACTGACATATTTTTATAATTTTAATTAAAAAATATGGTGATTTGGCAAAATCTATAAATGAAAATATTGGAATTTTATGTGACATACTTACCAGGTTACCAGGAGAAATCGGCAAACTAGTATGAAATTATAATGTTCGACGGCAAATTATCAAAAATTTTGGTTCGGATTGGATTGGAAACTAAATAAATAGGAAATATATGATTTCAAAGTATCTTAATATGAGCAATATCAATTATAAAAGCGATGACAGCAATGAAATATAACACAATTATTAAATTTGTATTACATGGGAGTTGCACATCTTTTTCTTGTAAAGTTATTGTTTCTGCGAAGAAAACTCCAGGTTAATACTTTTGTCAACATTAATTATATGAAACCCCAAACGCTCTCCTCACGAAAAGCATTATTAAATTTGCAGATATAAAACGGTACTTTTCACTCTAAAATTGAACATCAAATTTTGGAGCGAGTGAGTTGAAAATTGATTCAGACATGCAAAACACACACGCCATATCGCTGCAGACTCGGAAACCAAGCTCCCTAAATATAAAGTGTGCGTTCGCAGCAGCAGCAGCACACCTGACAGCGACGTAAATTTGAAAAAGCTCTCGTGATGTGCTCGTCGGCTACTTGAATATGCATGCATTGTTGGAGTGTATTTATATATTTATAAAATATATCTCTAAACGGGCGTTTGTTTTTTCTCTTCCTCGTTTTGTTTGTTTTCCTTCGCTTGCGTTTTGAATTTATGATCAGGGATGCGCACCTTGTAATAATACGGCTGCTACACGCGCGCGAATGTGCTTCTGCTTGTCTCTTTGCCTCTGTCCGGATTATGAATCACGACCTCATTGAGTTCGTCGTCTCCGTGCGTCCCTCCGCGCGTCCGACCAGCCTCGTAGATTTTATTGGGCTTGTCGTACATCTGCAGGTACAACGAGGCCGATATAAATTAAACCCCCGCCGTAAATAATTCGCTCGCCTGCATATGCTCTCGTGCGCCAACCGATCCTGCATTCGAGATAAGCCACCATAAGCAGTTTGAGAAAAATTAAAAATCAGTCAAAAGCAACACCTACAAATAACGCCATGTTTGATCATAAGATCAATTGTTTAGTTCAAAGTGTGTTATAAATCACACGCATCAAACACTCGGAGAATATCAAGTGAGCTAAAAATTAAAATCAAATAATAAGCAATATAAAGAAAAAAATTTGTCATTAAAAATAAGATCTAAAACGCCCTAATTAAATATTGTTACATTATTGCTTTATCACTATAACAAAATACTGAATATTATAATAATTAAACTGATCAATTTCCTCTGAAATTTTACAAATATAAATGTACCGCAATGAAATATATATTAAATAAGTTTAACTTCAGTCTGAATAAATTTTGCAAGTGCGAGTATTCCTACTACCTAC